CAAAATACAGCAGGGTCTTCACTGTTCATTACCCAGACACACCAACAGCATCTCAAGTAACGGGAGTGCTTGAGTAAGATTCCGAGCCACATAATGTGTTACTCAATGTCTCAGTTCCACAGGATTCCCTGCTCCCTTCCTGTTCAACCTATGAAAACCAGACATTTCCAGTAAGAAAGCTCCTCTGAATCTAAGTTTTTCTTGTAATGATTGCTGTGCTCAGTAGAAGCATAGGCAGAAAAGGCACTGACAACTGCAGAAGCTAAACACAGCTGTCCAGTATAGCTGGACTTGTTTGAAACACTTCCCTCTTCAGTGTTTGAAAGGAATAAGCAATGCTTATCTGACTAATCCAATGTCCTTCAAATTCTAGTACATTTGGAAGGATTCAGTGTCACTCCATACAATATTTCAGATTAGCAATAGAAATTAACTTTTATACATGCCCTGTAAAGTTAACCTACTGGGGTTTTTTCCCCCTTGAGAAGCCTATTTTCATCAGACAATAACCTGGTGCCTTTTACTAGCTTCATATTAAAAGAACTTTAGTTGGTTTATGTCTAAACAGGCCAAAGTGCCCAACTCTCTCCTTTTTCCAGAAGTGTATGTGAGTGCTATTGCAATTCCTCTAATTTCAATAATCAAAAAAGACCCATTATTTCAGCAGCTGTGGATGAATTCAGGAAGTTGCTTCTGATGAGCTTTATGAGCATGTTTCTGCTTTCTAAAACAAGCTTCCACTTGTGCAGATGATAAAGTGGATTTATTCCAAAATGATCTCACATGGTAGAAAATCCTGCCAATATACAGATGTTGCAAACAAAAATGGTCCCAAGTTGGGAAATTTTACTTGAGTTAATTTACTACCAAAGTACACAAATCTTTTATCAATGACTGAGGGTCTGGGTAAAGAAAAATAGTATAAACCATTAGACAAATGTATTCATGTACATTCTTTCTCTCCTCTGCTCCTGAGTTTCAGCTTCCTTTTTTTTCACTATGAGGTCAACTCTGTCTGCCAGAATTTGTGCAGGGAGCCAACAGGCAGCACAAGAAGTTGTGGGGCTGTGTGTAATGCTTTCTGCCACCCCAAATAATATGGTTCCAGCCATTCAATCCCAATGCTCCTAGTTGTCTTTGGGCTTTGGGATGCCAGTTGTCCTGTTCCTCATGTTTGTCCCTGCTCCAGTATGGGATGGGACCACTGACAGCAGTCCTTCCAGAGGCAAACTTGCTTCAGTGTGGTCTGTTCCTCACATGTTCCTTGCGCGTGTAGCCTTCCCATTTTAACAGCTGCAGATCACTCCTTAAATCTGGTATGTGAGGAGGATTCTTTTCCACTATTGCTCCATTCACATCGGGGCATGCTGGAACCTGTTTTGACTGGCACACAGTAATTCAAGGATGTCCAGTTCCAAAGGGTTAGGAGCACTTTGTTACATCCATGCAAATGGACTTTGTATTGTGCATATCCAAATATCTGTCAGCATTGGGTACCTGACCTGGCAGAGATAAATTTCTCCCAATGGAGAATTGAAATGGAAAAATGGGAAAAAAAAAAAAAAAGAAAAGAGGAAAAGGAAGCTTCACTTCTGTTAAGCCAGTATTAACTTTCTGAAGAGCTGAGAAAAATACTGTCAGGAGGTATAAAACCCTCCTGGAGAGTCAGAGGACAGCAACCCAGCAGTACAGTTAGCATCAAGGAACATGGGAACCTGACAATTCCCACACCAGTTTGATGGCCAGCTGGAGAGCAGAATCTGTCCAGGAGTAGAGCCCTGTAGCATGTTATTCATACCTGTCTTCAGTGAGCATGAGTCCACCAGTAACTGCTGTTTGTTCAGGTGTGCCAACAGGTAAATAAGCCCTGACTTGCGGTTTGGATAACCAAACAGACCATGAGAAACCCTGGACATGACACAAGCAACTCTGAACATTGCAAATAGAGTGAGAAGCTGAAAGTTGTTACAGACAGCACTGTGAGCCACGCCAGGACTCCCCAGGTAGATAAGGGAGTGTCACACAGTAACCTCACAAATATTGGAGGGGAATAGTTGGGATTCTTTTGGGAGTGGAGACTTGCAAGGCCAGCAGCACCTCAGTAACTATATCAATAACAACACACAAAGTCAAGGTGACTTATGAAATGGTAGAAGAAATAGGTATGTGGGTACAGATGTACAAAACCTGTGACTAACAGGGAAAAGGCAACTATCCCAAAGTTGTTTCTTTGGGATATGAAGGGCAGAGAAAGGGAGGGGTCAGGGTAGGTGGAAGAAGAATAAGCATGGGAAAAATCAAGAGAAGGTAGAATAAAAGGAACTGGTTGTATGTGGGCAAGCTGCTGGTCAGAATTTATCTGAATGAGCCTTGTGCCCCATAGCTGCAGGACATCCAGTCTTTTCATAAAAGCTGATTTCCTGCTTGATCCTGGGGAGAGCTGTAGGGCAGGGTGAGAGAAAGAGAGCACTGCAAGTCACAGGAGTTGTGTACATGCACGTTTTCATCAGCAAACTTGTCTTGATCTGTTGGAAAGGAAGAGGAGGATTAAGTTATCTGTGTTCATATTTATAGGAATGCTGCTTGTGAATATGTGGGTGACAAGCAGTGAAGACATCAATCTCTGTGTGGTCTGTGCGGCTGATGACATTGGTCCTGCGTGTGTATCTGCACCTTGGCAATGTGTACTCAGCTTGGGATTTGGCTGGACTTCCAAAAAGGATCAGCAGCAGCCACAGCTATCAATCCTAGATGGAAGACACTGCCTGGGTGCTAGACTGCACCAGATTTGTCTGTAGAAGGACAAATCCCCCCCCATCCCAGGATTCAGCTGCTTCCTAGTATTGTCTGTTCTCAAACTGTGTGCATCCTACCAGCAGGGTCTCAGTGCATGCTAAAGGACACCCAAGCTACCAAATAAAAATGACCCCGTGGGATCACAGAAAGAAAATCTACTTCACTTGTCACTGTCCTTCAAATTCAAAATTAACTTCAGGGAAAAAGAAATTAAGGACCTGAAATTGTGGACCTAGAATCATGGGCAGTAAAGCTGAAATTAAGGGTTCAACTGTCTTCCTGAGGCTGGAGGAAATATTGCTGGTTCCAATATCAATGGGGGAACAGATCACCCAAAGTCAATTAGCAGAGCCAATATTTAAACTGATAACACTTTTTTCCTAGCTGAAATTGGGATAAAGTGTTGGTTTTGCTGATGTTTAAATTAATGATTTGTATTAGCTCAGCTCCAGCCAGGACTGAACACAGCAGATGGTTCAATTCTAAGATTTCCATGATGGATAACATGCCACAGTCGATAAGGTGGCTCAACTCTCCACAACCAGTAATGGACTTCAAGAAGCAGCCCTGGGAAGTGAACAGAAAGCCTATTGATTTTCAGTAATGGATACTCATTTTGCTCCTTTAGTGTTTTAGAGCTTCTTAGGCACCTCACTAAAGGCAAGGGGAGTTTTTGTCATTTGGATAAACAGATTCTTAGGAATCAACAAGGGAAAAACTCTTAATTATCAGCTTATCTAGGGATGCTTGGTTTATCCATCATTCCTGATAGAAGTAAACCCCTGGTTATTCTACCTGATGGGGAAGGGGTCACATTCGGACCCCAACTCTTAGGAAAAGGCATTTGAGTGCTGGTATGGATACAGAAATTGCTGTAGGGGCAAGTCTATAAACCCCTGTACTGCAATTCTTGGAAACAGATGAACAACTTTGATCAGACTGAAATCCCAAGAGCACAATTAATTACTGACAAAGTTTTTATCCAAAATAGAGTTACTTAATGAGCTAATGCTTATTATTCATCTTTCGTTTCAAATTGATTCATTAGTTAAATCAAAAATACTAATTTAACTAATTAAAAATTAGTTAAATTAAAAATAAAAACATTTAGAAAATTAATTAAAAACATAATGTCTGTAACAGTCTTATATAATGAAATCTACCATCTTGTGTGCAATTTTAATGAAATAAATTATGCCACGGGTTCCATTTTCCCAACAAGCTCATCATTGTGAATACTTATTCTTAAATGCTTACCGCAATAGCTGGATGCAGTGAAGACATATCCCACCAGGAATAATTGTTGATCATGTGGTGGCTGGGTGATGCCCTCTCAAGCTTCTTATTTCCATTTACATTCCACAAAAGCTTCCAAAGATAATTGACATCTGTGTTTCTTATGATCCAGGGTGGGCCATGATTTTCTAAAATGCATCCCCATGGGTAAACTGTGTCTCAGTGCTATCAGGCCCTGGAGGAATGTTGTGTGGCAGCTGCTTTTTAAAAAGCAGTCATGTGTTTAGCTACATGAGGAGGTATTTTTTCTTAGCATTGCTAAAAGAGCAATATCTCACTGAATTTTGGTGAGATTTTCCACTCATTAAATGCTGGTACGTTTTTCAAAATCTTCCTCAAAATAATATCTGCTGTTTCTGAAAATTCTACCTCCAAAATTTTCTATGACACCTCCTGTGACAGACTTTTGGAGACAAAGAGCTGTTCAGTCAGCCTTAACATGTTTTGAACTACAAACAACTACACCTATGGCAACTTTTAAAAAATTGCAAAGAGAGTTTAGCAGAAAATCAGGATGTAAGGATCTGAACAGAAATTAAATAAGCAGTATTCAGAGGATGGGTTATTCACACAAGTAGGAATTTACTTCATATTCAAAACAGTTTTTTTCCCATAAAATTATTTCTTCTTATTAATAATGTGGCAGCTTCTACAAGCCTGATGACAAAGCAGGATTCAGTGGTGTTAGGCATCAAACCGAATAAAGGATTGTTACTGCCCCAAATACACTGTCAATTAACCAAAGACAATATTTATAAAAGCAAGATCAGATCATATATAGATTTTAACTTTCACTTACACCTACAGTCAGAACACAGCAGAAGAAATATTTGGAAGATAAAAGCAAATTTGCTAGTGCCAAGTAGTGTTTTATAAATGTATGACTTGTCTAAACATGCCTCAGCATTTTATTGCCTCATACAGCATGACTTTTTATTTGTATCAGATTGAAGTTCGATGGTTTTCTCTTTCACTTTATCTTCATGTTCTTTTAAAATCCTAGAGCAAAGAAAGAATACTTGTGAGAAAAAAAGTCTATAAAACCCACAATAGACTGAACAAAAAACATTTTCCCAAGAGTATAAAATTGTCCAGAGATTTAACAGAAGATTACAAAATTTTGTTAAGTAACAAACAAGCAAAAAAGTACATTTAGGGTGGCCCCATCACACAACTGTCTTTCTTCATTTAGTTAGAGAAAATTAGTTGGTGCTGATTGTTAACATTTATTGCATATTACACAGACTCAAAACAGTGACTTTCATTTCTTACTTTTAAGGCTGGAACAAAACTAAAACAAATTTGGCTGCCTAGACATTTATCAATTACTGACACTTTCACAAAATTTCACTGATTTCAGCAACAATATTAGAGATTTACCAACTCATTACCAGTGTCTTCACCTCTTTAAGTAGTTCAGAGGTGCCATATTTTCCTGCATCTTTACCTCTAGCCTTTATATAACTTCAAAAATCCACCTCTTCCCATCTCCCAGCCCTCAGGCAGATGGCAGAATTTGAGCTGTAATGAGCAGAGGGAAGAAGGAAGCATATCCAATGTCTTGCTGCAAGGAGTCAGCAGCATCCATTTTCAAGCATATTTCTGCAAACCTTCAGGAAATTCTTGCAGGAATTATCACAACAGCCAAGGCCCTCAGCTCTCCTAGCTACAATCCAGATGTTTCTGGATCTATGCAGAGTTTCACCAGCATAACTCTTTATGAACCTGAGCAACTCTCAGCCAGAGCAATAGGGTCAGGCTACAGAACAGTTTAAAAGCAATGAATATTTCACCACCCTGAGTTCCTATATAAAACTAATATAAATATAATATAACATAAAACTAGTTAGACAAAGAGAATTCACAATGTCATCAGTTACAGGCAATCAGACATATAAAAAACTCATTGTTGGTGTTTTCTTCTTACCTAGCTAAGTGAAGCACAGACTTTTCCACATTGTACCCAGAATATGCACTGCATTCATAGAAAATTAAATTGTAATCCTACAGTCAAAGAGAAAGACCATTTCAATTACTTTTGCACAATGTCTCACTCCAGCTGTAAAAAGAGCAGCACAGGTATACTGAAATATGAAAATAAAGAAGGAGAAATAGATGATCTTAGGACTTTAATTCTAGAGCTAACAGTAAAGAGTAACAAAAGAAGTCCAAGCGTGCCTCACAAATAACAACTATATGCTTCTCTTAGCAGATATTTGTTCTGTAGAATAGCTTTTGATATAAGAGCTCAAATGAAAACAGGTCTTGTAAGGCACTAAGCCTTGTGAACTTCCCTTGATCAAGCAATTCCCACATCACTGAGTGCTGGACAAAACAGGTGAAAACAATTCCAGTAAATCTTCTTTCATCTTTTTGTACTTGTGAAATTTTCCTGCACTTCCTTTTCAGTCAGCCTGCATCTTTCAGTTTTGTACTCCCCTGGGAGCTTTGTAATTAGGAACAGTGGATAAGTGATCAAGTCTTGGGAGAGATTCTCAGCCCTTCAGCTGAAGTCTTATAAATGCAAAGGCAAGAGATCATCTGCACAAGAGCCTGGCCTGGCAGTTCTGATGGCAGAGAAGTTTGAAATGGAATGACAGATTATCCTCCAAAATAGATATCTGTCTACTTTCACAACCTGCTACAATGAAGGTCACCTACATTGCCTCTGTAGTATTACTACCTGTCCTTTTACCCATCCAGATTTCAAATTTCTATTCACTTTCCACTTATCTCCGTGTCTTATTGCTATTTATAGCAGTAGCTTAAAATTCAAGCAAGTAAGTCAGTACCTTAGAAAATAACAATCACGTCTGCAGAGTTGCATTTGTTTGTTATTAACTCTGGTTACTGCACTTATACTTATTTAGTCACTCTTCAGAAGACACTTATAATTCAGTTTTCAAAACTTTCCATTAAGATGATGAGGTATTTCTGTTTTGGTTTGATTTTTTTTTTCCTATATACTGTGCTTCCAGAAGTGCACAACTTTTGGAAATTTCTGTCATCTTTGTGGAATTTCAGAGACAAAAATGGGGAAAAGAATTCCATAAATACAGTAGTTTATTTTGGCAGCTCTAAAAAAAGTTCTTCCATGACATCCAATGTCAGTTTTGTATATGTTGTCAATGGTTATACTGTTTGTTCCAATGAAAAACCAGATTGAACAACATGCAATAATTTCTTGATGACCAGATAAGCACAGAAAAGCAGACAAGGAAGAAATCAGGCAGTGTTAGTGTTGAATAGACATTTTATCAATTTTTAAACACATATAACATTTGCAAAAATGCAACCCTATGATTCTCTTGCTTTTCTTTGAAAAGTTTTAAGACAAAATTTGGCCAGGTCAAATTCTTACTAGCTATGCAAACAGAAGCTTGAAATAAAAATAACACTCTCTTTTTCTGCTTCTAATTCTAATAGAAAACCTACTGTGGTCAGCTTATAGGTATTTCATGTCAGTCTAACATGATACTACTCCAACATCTTCCCCACATACAACAGAGCGTCACCAGAGGAGAACTCTCAGTGATAATTTCATTTATGCTGGCATGAATCTGAATGGATTTTTCAGCAAATTGCTTGGACAGAAGGATAACAATTTAAACTCAATTGATAATGAGTGCTTAATTCTCTCAGTCTAGCAAAAAGGTTCTTCTCTAAAGGGGAGATAGTCTAGAAATACAACATGCCATTTCCCTGATTCAGAGAGGAAACTAATGGATAGAATACACAGGGAGCACAAACTAGGAGCAGGAAGGACACATATAATTATTAAGCTAGGAAATGCCATCCATGTCCATCCAGGAATCAGCTACTGAACCTTGGAGACCACTGACAATTACTTCATTTTAAAAATTTACCTACAAATCACCAGACATCTAAAGAATAGGGAGGAAAATGAAGTATTACCAGAGGGAGCTGGGTAATTTTCTGTCCTGTAAAGTACCATCACTCTGAGAATAGCTGCCTCATTAGCAGTATTTGTGTAAGAATGGAACTGACAGGTTGACAAAGCAGGCACTGTATGAATACACAGAAATAGTCCTCATTCCATGAAGCACATATACTCTGCAAAGCCAAGGCAGACAAGGCATTATTATCTTCTTTTATAGTTGGGGAACAGTGATAGATAAGGATTTATTGACCATTTAAGATCACTCAGGAAGTAAGTGCAGGGCCAAAATAAAATGATGTAGAGATAAGCACGCCTGAGCAGCACCTTTATCATAAGGCATTTTATTTAAATAATTGGCAGTGCTTATTACACTTCTGTACTCTCACAGAACATTGGCTTTCCTGGACACTCACAATATGATCTGAATACTCTCTCTTGTGCTCATATGAATTCTTGATCACTGGATCAAGCTAAGCTACAGAGTAATTTGTTATACAGAGTCTTCCTTCTGGATCCTCTGCTAAAACAAGTCAAATGGACTTCCAGAATCCCTGTGCTCATTCCATTCTTCCTTTTCATGGGGTATTACAAACACACTGGAACTACAAGTCTTCTCAAATGATAACTCCCTTCAGGCTGCCATTATTCCTTTTAAAAATTAATTGTGCTGCCCACCTTGCAGAGAAGTTATGTGACAAGGGCATTATAATGGGGGCCCTTGGGTTTCTGACCAAAGCTGTTGTACAGTACAGTGCTTGTAAGATGTGGAACTGAAGCAAAGGAAGGGTTAATTTAGCTGAGCTGAAACGGCCCCTGAAAGTACATGTTCCTTTCTGACTATAGAAAAAAATGGGTAAAACCAACCCCATCCTGTGAGACATTGAAACAGTCCTTAAAACTGTTGGACTTCAGGATTAACAGGCTAAACTGACTCTTTGCACAACAAGAGCTTGTTTTCACCAAATATGGCTATACAAATTAGTATCAGCTCAGCACCTAGCCCCGTGTACTTGGGATCATTTGTGAGTAATTCATGGGATTATTCACAAAACAAGTAACTCAGCTGCATACACTAACAGAGACAGTGGTATGTGGTTTCACAGGAATTACATGGCCATTTAGCAAGAACTAATATTTCATTAAAATTCATGGTTATTATTAGCTCAGCAAGCAAATTATTATAATTTAATTATATCTATGCTACTTTTCAAATAATCCATTGCCATTAATCACTCCTTCTCTTATCTACCTCAGGCAGCACATTCAAACATTCAAGTGAGTCATTCAGATCCATTCATTTGATTATAACCATCTTATTTGACAACTTTTTGTTTTACTTATGCAAAACATTTTATTTTCTTGCATGACATGTTAGAATTAATAGCCTGGTGGGCTGTGAGCTCTATATACTAGTGTGATTCATCTTTGTTTTACTAGTGCAGTTTTTTTAGAGCAACATGACATGCAAGACACCTACTCTCTGTCCATTTAGCATTTATGTGTCACTTGTTTTTTTCACAGAAGGATTCACCCTGGACTCCCTCCTAGCTTCCAGGGTCTCGAAGTTATCTGCATTTCCACGCACACAAGAAAATAAAGTTGATTTCCTAAAGGGAGATCTTTTGGGGGATAAGTTCAAGGCTGATAATCCTCTCAGACAAAAACCAAATAATGGACACAAACCTGAATAGGGAGGTATAATTTCAAAAGTCTATGTGAATTATCAAAATAAGATAAAAAGAGATCTGGCCTCAATTCTTTCCCTTACAGAGAAGTGCCTAGCAGCAACCTTTCCTGGAAGAACAATTCAGTTGCACTTCAAATTTTGAAAATACCCTTTTTATTACTGGCAGTAAATCTATCATCAAAGGCAAAAGAGGTAAATATGTGAAATCCAGCACACTGTTTAATTTAGATATATTCCTACCAATTTGGTGAATATTTCAGCAATATTTTGATTACTTACTTCTAAATAAATGAATATTCTGCAGGAATTCATGTTCAAACTATAAGCACTGCATAAAGAGATTCAAAGGAAAAATTGATGGGCATGGTACACAAGAATATAAACAAGTATCTGGTATTTGCAGTCCCTTGATTGCTTAAATTATGCCCATGGATCACCAGTGCTCTGGTAGATGCAGACTGTTAACTCTACTTATTTTATCTCCTTGATGGAAAGTTACTAAAAGTAAACATGTTTTCTACTCCTACCACAGGAGTAACAGATGGTCTTCTTTGGTTTTACAGGAGGTAGGAGGGAGAAAAGGTCCCCAAATTATCTCTATGTTAAGAACCCTTTCACAGGGAAAAGGGAGGAAAAAAGAAGCAGCAAGGGAAAAAATAGAGAAAAAGAGAGAACAAAGAGAAACAAGACACAATGAGATTGAATTCTTAAATATTTTCCTTCTCCACTCACTTTTTGGTTTGGTTTAGGGTTTTTTATTTGATTGCTTTGGTTTTAGGGTGTTCTCTTTATCTAGGCAGTGTTGTAAGTACTTATAATTATAAGCACTTACATCACTGAAAGCTGAATTGAAGAGTGTGATGGGGTTCCTAATCCTTAAAGATACCTATCTGGCTAAGATTAATCTGTATTTCTACGAATTTAGACACATTGAGACTCCATTTTAAAACCTTCACCTTCAAGTCTTGTAAGGAGCTCCCAAAGCACAGTACCTTTGCAAGATGGTCTCCCATTCCCATCGGGACCTCACGCTCCTTTTCATTATCGGTTTTGTTACCCAACAAAAGAACAGGCACATTCTCCCCAGTTGCCTCCTGCAGGATAAACAGCAAATATCAACTGAAGTGATGAATTCAAAAGATCACAGATTAAGAAGATAAAAGCTAACAAATGTCACACTCTAACAAGACATTTAAAACTTCACACAAACCAGGTATGTGCCACTTTGCTGACAAACATGTCAGGAATTGAAGTTGGATAAAAGACATGAAAAAGACATAATGCTAAGAGTTACACTGACTTGGGATTTTTTCTAATAACAGCACAGAAGCTCATTAGACTTTATATTAAAATGGGAGAGAGGAAACCACTGTGCTACACAGGCTCAGATATTATGTGTTTACAGCCACTGCTTTTCTAATTACATGGCCAGGAAAAATAATGGCAACACCTGGGTGTTATTATGCCAAATGAATTACATGAAATAGTGAAGAAATACACAGAATAGGCCCCCAAAATACATAGAATAGACAGAAATCAAAATCCATTCTGAAAAGGGTTATAGTTATATCAGTGAGTGCTTTTATTAGGTGGGCTGAATGCTACAGCAGTAAAGGGATTTGGCAGTATGTCCAACTTAACAATAGTTTCCAGCAAACAAAAATTAGTTAGTAAAGAAGAGTGAACTATTAGAGATTGGAAAAAAGTTTTGACCACAATATTCCATTTTTCTGAATCAAAATCAGCAATGCTCCTCTAGCTTTTACCATACTGAATTAAAACATGCCACTTATTTATTAAGATCATATAATTAGCAAGGGCCTGTTCTTCCCAAATGCATGCTAATAGTACTTCAGTAAGGATACTCATATCTGGAATGCTGAGTCCTAATCTGAACTCCCAAAGACACCTCTTGGCTATTCTGGAAATACAATAGTAAATAATAATAATCATAATAATATATAAAATAATATTATTATAATAGTGTGTTATACTAGAGCACATACTCAATAAAATCAGACTAAATGACCTTTGCATATTGATTTGTCACTTACTTTTTCAGTGTGCAAACAGGCAGCCACACTTTGTTCTTGCTACAAGTCAGCCCTTTGTGGCAGCTGCCTCAGTTTTATTTTTACTCTCTGTTCTGGCCACAAGCAAATTCCGTTGCCTACGCTCTTAATTTGTTTTAATTTTTAATTACTTGATGTCACTCAGTGATATGGACTATGATTTCCTTTTCAAGTGGCTGAAAGGATGATCCCCAGGAAACTGAACTGTCTTTCACAAGTACTGTGGATTACATAGCTCTATGTTTATGGCTTATGTTCCTAATATACTCTATTTTCCACAAGCTACACACTTGGTTATCAAATGCTAGTGATCATCAGTGATCACCAGATCACCATCACTGATCCAAAACACCTCTCAGGGCTAGCAGTGATCCAGTGAAGGTCATCAACAAAGTTCTCTTCATGAGAAATAAGAGGACTCCATGTTGGGATTTTACCACCCCTCATTCAAAGTCCTTAAAACCCTGGAACTATAATTTTTTTTTTCATAGAGATAGAAATGAAAAACAACTTCACTGGCAACAGTGCAGACCAAACACACAAACAAAAATGTAATTGTGACAACACAAGAAATGCGGTTCTCTCGGTTTCACCCTGCTAACAGCCCTTGTTCAGAAGGTAGAGATTGACACCAAGGATTGGATTTCAAGTTTTGTCAAGTTACCTCAATGCTTATCAGCCACTGCTTGACAGCTGTGAATGTGTCTTTTGCTGTTATGTCATACATCACAATGACACCATCAGCTTTTCTGAAAAACTGCTTGGTAATGCTTCGGTACCTGCAAGTAAGAATCTAGTTACAGCTCTCTTCTACAGAAGCAACAATCTGACAAGTTAAAATTTATAGTAATTCCTCCATACAAAGAGAAATAAATTATTTGGGAAAAAAAATAAGATAAAAGGAATTTTCAAAAGAAAGTGTTTGGAAAAGCTCCCCGTGCCTTCTGTAACTGATTCTGGGTTAGGCAGGATAATTAGCTTAATATTTCACCTTCTCTCTCCTCTTTCGTTTTAAGCTTGGACCAGAAATTTCCCCCTCACTAAGTGCTCTTCTAAAGCTAGCTAGGTTTTTGGAGACCTTTTTCCAAAGCCTCATATAGAAAATGCAGATTGTCATTATCATCATTGCTTTTAGTAATAGTAATAGAAAGTTACACAATAGGTGAGGAGATGGGGAAGGAAATGACCACTGAAATCTTACAAAAACCTGGAGTTCTACTGCAATGGTATTGCTTTAGTAAAAAAAAAATAAAAATAAATTCATCTTTTTTCTCCATTAAGGTATTTCCTCATATAGAAATCATTCTAAGTGCATTTTAAAATCAGTCTTCCTCCTAAAGAAACAGCGTGGCACTAAACTTTTCAGAGCTTAATTAGTGCTGCAAGGGAATGAGCTAAACTGTGAATGCACTGGCTCCATTAGGAATGCTCCTATATTTGTTCCTCTCCCAAGAAGCAGGATTAGGTTCACACTTAATGATCTTCAAACAGATGATTCAGGGAAGTGAGACCTTAAAATGTGTGCAGGCTTTTGACTGGCATGGAATTAAATTTCAGCACACTGTCTTCATTTCAAACAAGGAGTTTTTCCACTTCCAACCCTCCAATTCCCTCCTCCATCCCAGCAGATGGGGGAGTGAGGGAGCAGCTACCCGCCCAGGGTTGAGCCATAAGAGACCCTTCCTCACCGTTCCTGGCCAGCTGTGTCCCAGAGCTGCAGCGCTACCTGGCTGTGATCTACTGTGACAGTTCTCACGTTGTAATCCACACCTGCAACAGAAAGGCAAGGTGAGCTGTCTCTTTACAAGCTGTTTGATCAGTGAAAACTGGATCCAGCAAATAGCAACAATTCCAGGACAGTAAAAAAATAGGCACTGCATTAAAAATTATGTCCAGAGTCTCCAGCTGTCAGAGGACAAGAGCTTTTATTTGCTTGAAATCCTCCAGCAATACCGAATGGTAGTAGGGTAGTTCAGTTTTGTAAAATATGCAAGATAAGTCACTTTCCAAATCACAGGACACGAGTCAATGGTCCATCTGACAGGCCACAGCAGTCTAAGCCATTTTGCCTGGAATTGACTTGTATGACATCAGTTGTGTGAAATGTGTTAGTTTAGTCTGGGCTAACCACATGGGAGCCTTCCAAAAACACAAGGCATGGCACAGGGAACAGTGGAACCTGAGATAAATGCTGAAGATAGGTGGACTGAACATGTGGAGAACATCTCCTATTTATAACGTAGAAGATAAGCTCACTTCCCTTAGGTTAGTGGACATAAAAATTCATTTATTTAAACTTTTAAATTAAGCCTCTTCCAATTCCTCTAACCTCTGAAGAAGTACATATTTTCTGGATATTCATAACGATATTTAGAGTTTAAAATGCTAATCAGTCACTACCTCCTCCTAATGACAACCTACATATTTTTGGTATCAAATTGAACTGTATCATAAAATCACAGAATCATTGAATAATTCAGGTTAGAAGGGATCTCAGTAGGTCAGCAACAGTATCTTTGGGGCAATTTTCCACAAAAATGGGATTTTTACCAGTGGCATCAATGGAGAAGCATCCATGCCTGCTGAGATTCCTTCAATAAGCAATTAAAAAATTGGTATGGAGAATATATCTATTGCTTGTATTTCAAGGGAATAAATTTGAATATTCTGTAGAAATTCATTGAAAACACTCCTCTCCATATTGTTCACTTGACTTTTCCACTGTCTGTACCTTGCCAGCCATAGCCCACACCTGTGAAACTCATTGATGTGAACAATAAATCAAAGCTATGACAAATGTCTTTCTGCCATTTTCTTTGTAAGAACCCTGGATGACCAGCCAAAAGAGGAAAGAGTTCAGACTCCTTCTTGTGTTTTTCCTCTGGAAAATTGCACACACTGTGTAAGACCTCAGAGTGTAGAGAAGTGCATCAGCCAATTACAGGACAACATGGACAGGACACAGCTTTTAGATCAATAGGATACATGAACAGACAATTGCAGATAGGTGTCCAAGCCCCCATTCCAGTTAATGAAGATACAGTCAGTGAAAAACTAGGACATTACTAAGCTCACCTTGAAGTAGGTAAGTCTTATTTCACATATGCTGCAGAATAAGTAAGGTCTCAATACAGGCTAAGCATAAGGAATCTGGTCATTTAATCCAGCTGCATTGCAATAACCTATACTTGAGTTCTTGTACCTTGATTTTGAGTCTGACTTTGGAAAGCTTGCTCTATAATTTTAGGCAAGGTAAGAAGGTAGGCTTTGAAAATTTTGGCGTTCGAAACACTGGTCTGACATATTTTTTTGGTGATTAGTATAATGCTAAATGATAGGTGATTCAGATATTCTACTTTCTCTATAAAACAAAATCAGATTACTTCGAGGGATAGCAATGAGATATGAAGGTGGGACTGTTAGTACAATGCAGTCCAGAGGACAGGATATCTGTTTCAGAACTGTGAGATCTACAAGGAAATTCTAGCTTCAAAGAAATCAGTATATTTTTTTTCTGATTTATCTCACTGCTGGCCAGGATCTCAGTACAGAATCTACTCTGAAACTTCTCCATCACTTATGAGCTTTCCAGTTTAGGAGAACTTACTTTGCATGTCCTACTTTTACAACATCTGTATGTTTCTGTTTTATTATACAAGGCCTGATCTCAGTAGAAACTCTTAAGTACTGTCAGAATAAAAATAACAATAGTTATATTTTTATATATTGTTAACTTACCTACAGTTGCAGCTGTGCCTGGGAAAAAACGATCTTCACAAAATCTTCTTAAGAATGAAGTCTTTCCAACACTCGAATTGCCCACAAAAACAATCTTGAATAAGCGCTCTGGAACAGAGTTTATTCTCTCCTCCTTCAAGTAAGAGCAAAAATTAGCCTCCAACTGTTCTATAAATCCCGTTGCCTCTCCAGTTAAAGGCTGATATGGGGAAAATAACAGATTTTATCCTATCATAGTCTTCATTACTTATGAAGCAATATTCTGTTTCTTAAAATAACTCAGCATTTCAGGTGTTTGTCATGCATCATTCCAGATCATCCAAAGTGCAGTGATTTGCACTGAGCTCTGGAAGTGTACTGAATACGAACCTTTACATGAAACTGACAAAATAAACCAGTTTATGTTCATGGGCACAAATCAAAATTTATAAAGCTTCACACAGCTCTGCTCAGTAGCTTCATTCTATATCAGTGACACAGAGGAAGCAGCACATCTTCATCTAGATACCATCTTCATCTAGAAGCAAAGTCATAATTTTTTTGCTTATGCTACTAGACTCTTCTTTCTGCTACTACCATAGAGCCAAGAACTTCCATCCAATTACTGCATTTCTACATCTGTTTAACATTACAGGCAGAAGCATTGAGGAAAGACACAGACAGAGAATTAGACCAGTTAATCAGGCTGTAAACATTCAGCTATGTTTCTGTCATTTCGCTTTTTAAGCAGAAGGAACAACAATTTGTTCTGCTTATCCAGGTTCTGTTTACTGCAGGCTAAGCTAAGTGGATGCTGGAGAGAATATTTATATCCTCTATCAAGTAGGTCATCATTCTTTTGTATGTAAATCAGGAGTTGCTTAGGGAAGCACTTGTAGCACCAGCTGGTTTGCAGGGTCTCTTGCTGGTCTCTTCTATTTTGTGTAAAGTTGAAGGAAGAGGGAGATAGAAAGTTTGCTTTCAATGCTGCAGAAGGAGAGAAAGATCATGGATGGTCCTGACATTAGTTTGTAAAGGTACAGGTTGTGAGGAGGGGAAGGAGGGGAAGGCCCTCTGCCAGTCATTTGATGTGCAGGATCCATGTCTTCATGAAGACATCAAAACTGAATTCACTGCCCAACAGCCCTTTGAATGAGACATTGAAGTCTACACTTGGAAGTGTTTTCTACAAATATACAGAAGTCTTAGAGAAAGACGAAGAAATAGAGAGCTGCTCTTGATGGGGGAAAAAAACCCCAAACAACAAAGGCTTGAGCTGCTGTCTCCCTTCATGTGAAAAAAATATAATTCAGGCTGTAAATTTTGGGGACCAAAAATACATGTTTCTTTCATGAGCTGGGCTTACAGCCCACCACAGTTATAGAAGGGTTTCTTATTTTCCTTTTCTTTTAAAATTCTAAACCCCAGGGCAACTATAGGCTACTAGTAGCACACATTTATACAAAGCACATTCTCAGTCCTGATAAAAACCATTTCCAGCTTATTAGTCTGTGTGCTCTGGGAAATAAAACAAGCTAACATACAATCACCAGCTTGGCAGTATTATCACAGTGCTTCTGAGAACCACAGCTAAATATATGGACTACATGACCTGAAATACTTTGTCCCTGGTGGTCATTCAAACTCCAGTAGCACTAAGACTCAAAGACCCCAGAGGCCTTCAGCTCAATTCCCAACACAAGAACATAAGAAGTAATTTTTCACTGAGATGTATCAAGTCCAGTCATGAACATAACCTCAATAATTAAACTTGGTTATAAATCTGCATCTGAACACTATGCTAGGGGGTAAGCTACTCCACAGTCTGCTTCAACAAAGTGCTGATGGGAAAATGGAATAGCAGTAGGATGATAATTTATTTTAGTTTACAATGCAACCTGAAAAAGTCTTCCCTAGATGTGTCTTTTGAGTAGTCTTTATAAAAAAAGTAGCCAGGTAAAGTAACACAGCTTTTGTACAATTTAACACAAATGTGGGAGATTATACGTATAAACATAATGGTTCATATTCCATATTGAAAGTGAATCTCATGCAGAAGTTTTGAATAGAAATCCTGCTTTAATTTCCATTAGGGTTCCTTCAGGTATTGAATATATTCCTACAGGCTTGTCCTAGCTGGATAGGATGACCTACCTGGCTTTTGTCATCCTAATGTCCAGTGATGCCATGCTTTGAAAATGTGACACAAAATAAGTCATACAGCAAGCAAAAAGCATGCACTGAATTAAACAATTTCAAACTATGAAGTTCTTTTCTGTACCCTCAATGATTTATTAAAAGGTACCACTTAGAAATTATTATGTAACCATGACATAATTCTATCATAATTTTTAAGATATGCTTGCTTCTTCTAAAAGAACCATATAATTATGACCAAGCAAACCAATTTTTCCTATACTTTAATCTTTTTAATACGTGCTTCAAGAATCTAAAAATGAGTAATCCTTAACAATGATTCTAAAATTGGAAAACAAGCACAGCTAGCTCTGAAGAAATAGCAATGCAAAAAGAACTTTATACTCCACAGAAATGTACCTTCCAGCATACTGTTTTAAGGATTATTACTGAATGGTGAATTCATTGCTAACTCACATATACAAGCTAGAGCTGAAAAAATGTAGGATTTCCATTTCCTAAATAAAAGTATTTTCAATGATAATTAAAAAGTCATGATAATCCACTCATTATTCCTCAGATAATGTAACAGCTTCCAAAGCTGACTCAAAAGTATCAGAATATGAGAAATATCACCTTGAGGCAAAAAAAAACCAAAGCCAAACAACCAATTTTTTTAAAAAACACTTATTTTTTAAGACAATTTCTGCCTTCCACAGGATCTTCTTGTATCCTCTGTTACAAGGCTTAACTTCACTTTCCCTAAACAGTCCTTCAAATGTAAATCTATGCACACATTGTCTGCAGTTACCACTCCTTTAGGTTGAGTTTCCCTTCTTTGCACCTTCAGCACTTGTCTGCAATACGTTTTCATCCCCCACTTCATGCAATGGCTTAATCTGTCATGTTTCAACTTAAAGACAGAAAACCAAATAATTTTAGATTCTAGATATAACACATTAACATATGACACCACTTCATGGCATCCAAGGTCCTTCAGAATAGAATAGAAGAGTTCCAGTTGGATGGGACCTACCAGTCCAACTCCCTGACCACTTCAGGGCTGACCAAAAGTTAAAGCATGTTATGAAGGGCATTATCAAAAAGTATCTTAAACACTGACAGACTTGTGGCATGGACCACCTCTCTAGGAAGCCTATTCCTGTGTCTGACCACCCTCTCACCAAAGAAATGCTTCCTGATGTCAAGCCTGCAGCTCCCCTGAGGCAGCTTTGAACTATTCCCACACATCCTATTGCTGGATTCCAGGGAGAAGGGATCAGCACCGCCCTTTCCCCTTCCCCTCCTCAGGAAGCTGCAGAGAGTAAGGGAGTCATCCCTCAGCCTATTTTTGCAAACTGGACAAACCCAGAGCCCTCAGCCACTCCTCAGAGGACACACTTTCCAGCCCTCCCACCAGCTTTGTGGCATTCCTCTGGATGCATCCAAGGACCTTCACAATCTCCTTAAATCACAGGGCCCAGAACTTCACACTCTACTCAAGGTGAGATCTCCTTTGTCCTCTTACATTCGACAGTGTTTCCTTCCCTACAGGCTGCTCTCTAGAAGATGATGATGAATGTTCCATTGATTGCTCTCTGGATTTGTTATTCATTTCTGTCTCAAAAGTATCTTCATCTTCTCCAGTCCATCTGCTCAGCTGCTTATCAACCAGCCTGTCAAGAAGCTGGGGTAGGTGATCTTCTTCAATTGATATTATTCTTTGGAGATGTGATGTTTTAGGCATTCCTCCAGTGACTCCAGCATCAAGCTCTTCAGAGAGAACTCCATTCAGTCCAGCAGAATTCCTTCTCCTTGAATTACTGAAAATATCATCTTCTTCAAATGAATGGCTAGACAGAGAAAGAAGTATATAATGGACTTGCTATTTTATTCTGAATTTAATCTCACATGTTTTTGATTAGTCACAGCAGGCAGAGTCATTCCAGTGTCTGCTGAAAAGTCAGCTCATCATACCATGTGTATATATATTGATAATTATAAGCATCATGGGGAAAGCTAATAACTTACAGGAGAAACCTGAACCAGAATGGAAAATATTAGATTAACATCAATTCTAATCTCATAGAAGAGCTAAATTAAGCTTCTCTACTGTGGTTTTCTCCTTTCCCACCTTCCTTCCTATTCTGGAGGAATAAAAGAAACACCCAAGAGAGATCATTTCAATGTGCAATCTGATTCTCTTTTTAGTAGATAGGATGGACATGGTTCTGCTTAATATAGATAAAAAAAGTCCAAGTGGAGACTCAGAATTGTACCACATTAACATAGGCTCGTGGGCAAGTTTTTGTGTCTCCCAGCCTACAGCCATCCACAGAGGGGAAATCTCTTGCCTTTACAGACAGCACACTTAAAACTTGGCTTTTCATTTTCGAATTTCTTAATGAGTACAGTAATCTTATAGTGACAGACACTTAAGAAATACATTCTTTGAAAAGTTCAAAAGTATCAGAAAGGAAGCATTCCACATCTTCTTTCTATAAACCTCATCCTACTCAAACAGGGAACACGTGAAAAAAAGTTCCTACCTGTTTGGCTGCATCTTGCCCTCTATGTATTTCCCAATGATAGACCCTGATCTCTGCTTCCAGCTGGCTTTTGGAACAGTTGTTTTGCATTTCTGCAAAAATACAGAATAATTCTTACTGATTTACTTCTGGTGCTCGTTATGGTTAACTACCCTCATTCCAAATACTTAAATAATGCAATGCAAATGAAAGAAAAAAAATGTAGAAGAAAGTACTAGAGGTATAAATGTTTCAGAATTCTAATTGCTAAACAATCAGAACAGGAAACTCCATATCCTGCAAAAATGCATCTGCTTTGTAAATAAAACAGCACAATGTTATGGAAAAAAAGGTTTGTTTGTTTGGGTTTTTTTTATATGAGCAGCTTCTTGTAGACTAAGAACACAAGCAAATATAAACTAAATGGCTTTAGTCTCTTTACACCAGGGTACTTCTAGAACATCTTAGGAGTCCATTCTTTGCTGCTGCTTAAAAAGTTAATAGGATGTGTTCTTACCCCAGCCTCAGGTACTGAGGTACTCAGGTACTGATTCAGGTACACCAGTTATTGTACTGTTGTATAAATATGTCAGGATATTACCCACTCTTGACTGGGTAAATTAACACATTTAATTGCTCCATTTTTAGTTTATTTCCTCCTTTCATGATTGCATCCTTTGTTTCTTCTAAAATACATTCACCTCTCGTCAGATAGCTCCCACTTCATAATTCTCAACATGTAGCTCTTAAAATTGTTTAGCAAATTAAAAAAATCTTATTTTCAAGTGAGAAAAGACGACAATACAAATTAAGAACAGGGTAAGATTTAAGGGGCATGAAAGTTCATCTCCGGCACAGCCTTCTGTTCCCCTTCTTTTGAAGCTGTTCTCACATGTGTCTGCCCAAGACTGGGTTTGAAAATAATAGTTGGTTACCTGCAAAAATATGTCACGTTCATCCTTGAGATGTTTGTTCCTCTCTCTGCAAAGAAAATACAAACAAAAGAAACACTGAAGCCAAGTATTTAGAACTGCTGACTTTTGTACTCCACACGAACAGACAGACTGGACAGTTGGCAGTGCAAACCTTTCATCACCCTTTATTTATATTCTCACCTCGGCCAGTTCCTTGTCTGGGCTATTGATTCTCCAGCAGGGCTATGCTGATTAAAGCCAGATGGGATCTGGATGTCTTCCTGTATTTTATCTAAACAAATGCCTTAACACATAGAAATCAGTTGTGGTCAACATGCCTTCACTTACCGTAAATTAGAATTTTTAATGATTTTAAGATGATCTCTTAATGTGGAGAGGGTGCAAAGAACACCATCTCTTGTTCATCTGCTGACAGCTGTGAAAGCCAGTTATTGTGGCAATTGAGGCTGCCACAGAAAAGTCACCCTAGGAAAACATCCATCTTCCATCCTTTGTGCAGAAACAATGAAAGTGTCAAGAAACAGATACCCCAGGCAATCAGCAAGCTCTGATCAGATCTGACAGCACACCTGCTTAGTACATCATCTATTGTCTCCATCTGTTGCTGGCCTGGCCACAGGAGAGACTGAGCAGCCAGGGTGAATGAAAAAAACCTCTCTTGACAGATGTTTCTATCTATGTCCCCAAAACTTGCAGCAGGCAAGATCACAGAGTGGCCTGTGGAAAACACATGCTGCAAAACAAGAGCCTTTCCCCAAGCCTGGGAATTTTTAGGCAACTTTAAAATGAGGCCTCCTGAAGGAAATGCAGACAATGAAGACCTAGAGGCAGGTGCATCCTACAGCCCACACTGACTGACCACTGAGCAAACAAAACCCAACATTTCTTCACACTGAAAAGAGCGCTACAGGTGGCTGAACACAGCTCCAAATTTGAAGTCTATCAATAAAGAAATGTTAGCTATGTACATCTTGGAATAATTTTACAAATATTTTGGGGAAATAATCTTCATTTTAGCTCAACTCCCAGCACTTAAGAAGCAACAGAGCCTTTCAGCAAGCTCCTGCAGCCAGGCTTCTACCTCAGAATTAGAGCTGTTCAGTGCCGCTCTGTTTTACATGTGACTTTTGGAAAGGAGATTGTCCTACACTTCTGAATTGTCAAAATGAAGCAAATCTTTCAGGTGTGCTGCTCTCTACTCTATGCAAGAACCAACCATATAAGAGTCTTTTGTAACCATTTTTGCTATTTCTGTGTCATTATCCTGTGGCAGTTGACATTGACTGGCTGCCAGATGTAAAACCCAGCCACTCTCTCACTCTCCTTCCTCAACACCACAAGGGAAGATAATAACATAGAAAAGCTTGTGGGCCAAGATAAAAACAAGCAGATTACTTACCAGCTACCCATTACAGACAAAACAGACTCAACTGTAGGATGATGAGAAATAGAGACAATACTAAAATCATCTTCTCCACAATCCTCTTTCTTCTCAGGCTCAACTTCATGCCTACACCCTCAGTTCTTCTACGTCCTTAACCAATCCTGAGTGGCACAAGGGGATGGGGAAAAGTGGGGCTTGTGGTCAGTCCATAACAGCTTCTCTCTGCGGCTCCTTCCTCCTCACAGTTTTCTCGCTCCAGTGAGTGAGAGTGAGTTCCCTCACACAGGTTATAGTCCTTCACAATTCCAGCATAGAGCCTTTCCATGGAGAATAATCCTTCAGGAATGGACTGCTCCAGCCTGGGTCCCCCACGGGCCACAATTCCTGCCAGAAAACCAGCCCCTGCATGGGCTCCTCTCCACAGACCATGCTCCTGCCAGGAGCCTGCTCTTGTGTGGACTCTGCACAGGCTGCAAGGGACTCTGCTCCAGCGGTGCCTGGAGCACCTTCTACCCCTCCTTCTTCACTGACCTTGGTGTCTGAAGGGCTTTCTCACATATTTTTTCTCTCTTCTCTTCCAGCTGCTGCGTTGTTTTCCACCCTTTCTTACTGAGGCTTTCCCAGAAGCACATGGGGGCTGTGGGGCTCCACTGTGCCCTGTGCTGTGTCCATTGTCACAGGGCAGCCCTGGCTTCTCTCTGGCACCAGCCCCACTGTCAACACCTTGACACCTACACGCACTACATATCCCAACATAATTTCATCCTTTAATGGACCTATTCAGAATTATATAAGAGTTTTTGGAAGATCAACATTACCTTAAAAAATCCAGCTGCTTCAAAAGTCCTGACTTCTCTCTCTGTAAGGTTTCTGTCACCCGGTACACCTCTCTGCAAAAAAAAAAAAAGAAAAAATTGCTCTAACCATGGTAAGAACACTGCTAAAATGCTTCCCCCTAGGGGTATCTACATTTGAGACCTCAGCTTCTTCAAACTCGTAGAGTCTCTTCTGCATGAATGGTTAATATTTTAAAGAAGTTTATTCAGTAGCACAGCAGCACAGCAGCACAAGTTAGCAGAGGAAGGAGTAGAGGTTCTTTTTTCAAAAAATATTGCTTTTTAATTTCTTCATCCAGAGAGTTTATATACGTTGATACTGGCACTTGGAGCATTCAGAACAGATACACTGCTAAAATACTTCCCAGTTATAGCCACTAAAAACCAGGTGACATTTTATCCAAAATTAGAGCTTATCCTGCTGCAGGAACCATATGTCAGGCTCTCACATCTACAATCCCTACAATTTCTTCCAATTCTCGACACTTATGCAGCCATTTTAACACCATTTACTTTGATTTAACACGATTTGGTGTCTGGTTATTAATGATTTTTTTCGCCTTTCAGTGAAGCCTCAAGTTCTTCCTGTGCACTGTCTGACCATTACACCTGCTTCAACAGCTCAGGTCTTACCAGACTGACACAGATGTTTAAAGCAACACTGCAGGTGCAGTTGAGTAGGGCTGAGCTCTAATTCCATAAACCACTACTGAATCCAAAATGCTTTGTAAGTGCAGTAGTATTATTCAGCAGTCTGACCACTGGGCAGATTTCCTTTGTAGCTTTTAAATCAGATCATTTCATAGTCTTTGCTCTGGATCTGAAAAGAGAGGCCTCAAAGAGGAAACAAACCACCTTGAGGAGGAGTATTTCTACTGTCTACTTCCGAAACACACATCAAACATGCAAACCTAAAATTTCTAACCACAGTGGCCACTCTTTAACACTAATTTATCAACAAAGTGAATTATTTTTACCCTTGAGAAAAATTAAAGAAGTGATAACTTAATAGAGCTTGGCACAAAGCTTAAGAGAAAAATAATGTGACATTTGAACTAATGTTCTGCTCTATCCTGAAATATGTCAACCAGCAACAGCTCTGAATTATATAGTTCATTGCTGCAATGGCCAGGTCCATCTGTCATTCATGAGCCCTCCATTGGCAATGAGAGGCTTCTACAGATCCCTGAGCATTTTCTTTAAAATGGACTTGAGTGAACATTTCTGCCAATTACAGCCTCAGAGTAATAATTCTTCTGCTTTGTGCAGAAGGCTGGAGCAAGACAGGTAGCTTGAACTGTCACAAGTCATTTTTATCCCTCAAAATATGAATCGTAAACATTTCTTCTTGATTTTTTTTTTTTTTTTTTTTTGTAATTTGGAGTCAGAATCTGAAACTTTCAACATTTGAACTGGAAACCCCAAAATGGTTTGGGGTTCTGAATTGCCACAAAGCATTATGGGAATTGAGATAAGCTAAATTTTATCTTGCTGTCCTTACTAGGCTTACTTTAAAAAGAAGATCCTAGGTATCTCAGAGTGTATTCTGAGAAGCAAGTTTCAGATAGACTCAGCTTTGAGTAGAATGAAGCATCATGTGCCACAACTGTAAGGCATTTCCATAAGCAATTCCATTGGTATCTCAAAACTAAGACACTACATGGATTTTCAATTCAATTTTTAATTCCAACGGCAGTGGGGAGAGCACTGACATTTTGAACACAAAACTAGCAAAAGATTCCATAGAAGCCAGATATGCTACAGAAAATATGCTGAATTACTTGGGGGAAAGCAGCTAGAACTGCACTCAGCTTTGCAAGTGGTTTCTGCTTTTGACAGGACTGGGTACCCTGAGGGGGCTTACTGGCACACCAAGCAAGTGCACAAGAACTGCTGCAGCTGGACACTTACATTTCCTTCTCCTCATGGAGCCTTGATGCCTCCTCCTGAAGCACCTGTAGCTGCTGTTGAGCCAGGCTTAGCTCATGGGATGTTCTCTCCAGCTCTCTCAGCAGCTCCTGGTTAGTCAGCTTCAGCTTGGTGTTCTCTACTTTGGTTTCTTCTTTGCCACTGAGGAGTTGTGTACACTGCTGCTCTAACTGGGGTGGAAGAAAAGAGAACAGAAAGCATTAGAGCTGGTTGAGGCATCAGTTTTGAGGATTTCAGTTTGGGTCTTAGAGGTTAGCTGAGCAGGGAGCTATTTCTATCAAAGCCAAAGAATGACTAAAATACATATGGTGCTCTTCCACTGATCTTTGTAAAGACATAATTATGTTACACAAAAACAAAGCTATTCCATTCTATAACTGAATTTTATCCAGCTCAAGAACACACCAGTACAAAGCATAAAAAAGGTGCATAAAAAAGAGCGGATTAGCAGCATTAAGCTGATATTCACAACTGCTGTTTTAGACCATTTTCCACAAAGACCAGGTCTACATAGAATGATTCAGAGATCTACCTAAAAACTGCTAGATTTAAATCTGATAGCTGATAAACTTTCCCATCCCCAGCAATATGAACAAGCAGTGACCTTTTTGCCACCTCAGACAGATCTGCCAAGAAGTGTGAATTAGAGCCTTTTTATTCACTTTTATACTCCCTCTCCAATGTACATCAAAGGAAAGATACAACCTCCCTGTAAAACAAGCAACAATAGACAACAGTGGCTTCTGGTACATAAAGAAGTTCTATCTGCTTCTCCCTGGATAACTGAGCAAATTTAGACAGCACAGCAAAACTTCATATTAGGGAAAGCATTGCTGACCTTAAAATACAAAGCTTTTATTTTGTTTTGGCTTGTTTGTTTTTTTTTTCTTTTTTCTGTATTCATTTTAAGGACTGTAAAACATCCTTGGAGCATTACAATATCATTTCAATCTTCCAGATCTGAGACATAACAATGTTTGAACTCTCATTTTGCCCATCCCAACAAGCAGAGCTCACCCAACCAAAATCTGTCCTCATCCAGCTCTTCCAGTCAATTCCTACCCTAGAACACTGCTGTTGTTGTAGTCTTGGTTTTGAATGAGGCCCAGGTAAAAATAAATGCAGAAAATACTTTCTAGCCTGGACTGTGGGAAGTCAGGAACACATGTAGAGTGGGAGCACTTGGCAGCAGCAGCAGCTTAATGCATTTGCTGAACTGTAGCCTCAGCAGGCTCACATTTCCCATGGAACACTGGCTGGGCATTAGATTACTGCTGAACAAGGTTGGCTTACATGGATAGATTACATCAGTTCCTGAATATTGCTTCCACTCCTTGACAGAACAAAGTTACCTATTCTAAGTAAAAGATCAGCTGCTTCAAGTACTTAAGACAACACTCATCCAGAGGAGTGGCTTTGGGAGAAGCAAAAAGTGACTACACAAAGATGAACTTTCAAAAATTTAGGGAGCAAAAAGCTGCAGACAAAAACCCCACTCAGAGAACAGTATGGCCATCTGAAAACTTACACAGAGACTGTTCAGGAAATGTAACTGCAATGGTAGCCAACATCAGCTCCCAGAATCATCTATACTGAAGTTAGAAATACTTACTATAAATCCTGGTGCTCACTCTTGTCAGAAAAACAATAATATAATGTGTAAAACCCAGAACATAACAACAGGAGAAAGGATTGTTTCACAGCAATACAAAGCTCCATTCTTCCACTTTACCCTTTGAGGGTACAATCCTTTGAGAAATACCAAACACTACCTTTAAAGCCCTCATCTGAACAACTCACAATACAGGGAAATAACTCACTAGGGGAATGCTCAGCTGGTGGTAGAATGGCATAGATCCTATAGCTTCTAGCTGCTTATTGGAGCTGCAAATTGGCTTCTATGTTCATCTGGTAGATGGAAACTGCTGGGGAAAAGATTCATGGCCCTTAGACATGTTTAAGAAAATCGAAGTAGCAGAGAGAATTAACCCATTCCACAGGTCAAGCACAGACACAGTAGTTGATGGTGCATATTCTCTTTTTTTGACAAAGATGAGAGGAAAATCAAGTTTAAGTTGAATAAAGATCTGGAATTATCAAATGCAAATAAGCTGTTGCTGAGGACATTTATTGGTGTCCCCAAAAGACACATACATTGAGCACCCACCATGCAGTCCCTTGTTCTTAGCTCAGCATCCTTTCTGTAGTTTTTATATTCTTTCTTCTCCCTATTTATTTCAGTAGCATGTGAAAGATGCAAAATTTATACAGTGCCATAAGGCAGTTATAAGCACTTGAGTGCTACTGATCCATGTTTTCACGCATCTCATTCCCAATTCCAAGATCGTGCTCTTCAGTGGTTGCCATCAGCACAGAACCCAGCATTCTATGTGAGAAGCCCAGTAACTCCTCTGCATTTCACCTGGCCTACACCTGCTTTCTTCTCTCACACAAGAGTCTGTGCCCTAGAGGTTATGCTGGATATCCTCTGTCCCCATTGCCTCCTCCTGAGATGTTCCAAATGACATCCCTTGAGGAACAATGCCAGCCAGACAATCCCCATAAGGAAAACCCCTCTGGCTATGTGAGAGGAAACAACACAGATCTCATTTGGTTTGAAAGCTCCCTTTCATATTTTTGTTAATGATTTCCAACACAAAAACAACTACACTGTATTTCAAATTTTAAAAAAAAAAAGAGACTTATTAATGAAGTTTGGAAAAAATCATTTGTGTTGCTCCCTTGTGGGCCAAGAGGTTCTCTCATACAACCAAGCAGAGAAGTTGCAACTAAATCAAGCTACCTTCACTGTCTGCAAGAAGAGATTTAATTATCAAAGTATATTTCCATGCCAGAGGAGGAGGCAAAAGTGAAAGAGACCTCTGGATAAGGCAAACATTAGACACCACACATGGGTATCTCAGTGAATGAAAAGCAACACCAGAAAATGAGTGGGGACATGGTACTATAAAAACAGATCTGGGTAAAGATGAGAGTTACTTTCAGAGAGGATCATTAGAAATCAGAAAAATATATGTAGAAAACAGTGCCTCTAACTACACTGAGTAAAGCACTCAAATAATAGGCTAGGTTGGTATATCAGAAAAAAACCCATCAAATACTACATATCAGATTAACAATGGGGCAATCAGCTGGTTGAATGACAGAAGTTTCAGTTTTCATCAATCATCTGAATGAAATCATGTCATCTCAGCATTAGAAATAGTGAATTCCATTCGTCTAACACAGCTTCCTTTCCATAAAACCAAAATGGGATAGTTTCATCTTTATGGTGTATGAAGAGCCTGTCTTTCAAAAGCACCCTTGTTGTGATTCATGCAAATTCATAATGGAGAGGGGAAATACTAAATACTAGAAATTACAAATAAATTAAAAAACCAAACATGGCAATATTATTCATAATAAGCAATGCAGTAAATAGAAATGGAAACATAAAACCAGATAAAAAGCCAATACTAATAAAAATTGCACAGACATTGTTTTATGTTCTCCAGGATAGACAATATTAGACAATGGCAATGTAGACAACAATCATAAGATAAGACTTCCTGGTATTGTTCCCTATATTGATTGATTATACCAGGCTTAAAATTGAGTGAAAGCCTTTGAATAGCTTCTGTTTGGTTTTACACCAAATTTAGAAAACACATACTCGAAAAAAAATTTTTAGAGAATTACTGGTTGACAATCAAGTTTAAACAGAGCTTTAAAGCAAAAACAAACAAACAAAGGAAAATATTAAACATATTCATTAGAAAATTAGAATAAGTCATTTCTTATACTTCCTCAGTTAGTTTCAGACTAAAAATGCCTGATCTGTATGCCCCCACAGATATCTTCAAAGTATAGATTATTCCATTATAGTGCTGCAATGTGGTAAAGAGCCTGCATAAAACCACATATATTCTGATTCACAGTGGTACTGGACAAAGGTAATTAACATCAGGCAGTTGATTTCAACTGTAGAATAGACTTTTAGTTCAGTCCTGCATTCTTATCAGCTAAACTTCACAGAATAACAGAGTACTGGCTTGGAAGGGTAACTCAAGGTTCATCTGTTCCAACCTTCTTCGGCAGAAATACAGTTTAGCCAAGATGACCCAGCATCCTGCCCAGCTAAATCTTTAGTGTCCAATGTTGGGGAATCCACCACTTCCCCAGGAAGTTTATTGCAACGGCTGATGGTTCTCATTGTGAAAAACTTTCTTCTTTTTGTCCACAAATTCATATTCTACAGAGGGAATTGTGTTTACAGCACTCCATTTCAGCCCTTTAAATTCCAGTGCTACCTCCTTTCTCCATTACTAGTCTTTACTGCAATGACCTTGGAGCCACTTTACAGCAAGTTCTCTGCTCCCCCAAGCAGGCCATGCATTTTAGAAGCAAAACACCTCAGGTTTTATTATGGGAACTTGACAAGCTGTTACCAATGCAAGGAAAACATGCACTGCTATAAAACTGTTATCACAGAGATATATCAGGAGCAAGTTGCTCAGGAGGGAGCATTTTGAGTTCATAGTGCTGAATCAGTCCAAAACAAGTAAATGAGTGGCTGGTACAGGCTTTGAGCAGAGGTGTGCACTAGAAGAGCCAAATCATTGTTCTCTGCTCTTAAACTGGGTGTTAAGCCAGTTCCTAGAAGACTGAGGGCAGTGGAATTATGCTACATTCTCATAAAAATTAACCTAGTAACTGGGGACAACATGCAAAGCATTATTTTACTCTCCATTTTGCCACATAAAAGGAAAACTACTTTAGAAATAGAGGTTAACATTTTTCCTAAGCACATGACACAAAAACAACAGAAGGTCACAATTTGGCACAACCACATCACACCAACTTGCAGTTTTGGAACCTAAAATAGTACCTAAAGAAAATCATAAGAGCAAATAAGAGCCATCTATTTCTTAACTCCAAAGGATATCAGTTAGTACCCTTTTCTGTTTTTGAACCAGCTGTTCCAGTTCTTGTTCTTTTGACAGCAGCTTGCGTTCCAGCTCTTGACTTTGGGACTGAAACCTCTCTGTGTCCTGCAAAATTCCAAGAGGAAATGGATTAACAGAACAGCACAATTGCATCATAGGAGGAGAAATAACGAGTCACTGATTAAGCTTTCCCCAGTGACTATCACAAGACACAGGTAGTACTCAGTTTAGGGGTGGTATCACTCATGAATCTCTAAACTGCTGTAGTCCAGCAGCTTCCATGGCTATGGTTGGTACAGAATGTGCTGATTGCACATGAGTAGGTATTGAGTCTAGAAAGTGGAGGCAAACATCCCAGGCAGGAGGCTGAGGAGCTGAGCCAGTCTAGATCAATGCAGCCAGAATGTATCCTCTCGTTGCCAGCTACAGCAACTCAGTCTGATGTGAAAGAAACAGAAACTCCACGCTTCGAATCCGTCACTAACAGCAATTTTTCACAGATGTTCCACTGGTATAAACAAGCAACTGGGGCTTCAAGCTCTGCCTTTCCCTCAGCAATTATATGAACCTGTCCATTATCTAAGTATCCTGCAGTCACCAGGAACTCCCAGTCACATTTGGGATTACTCCTGACACTCCTCAGCTGAAAAAAATTGTCAGCCCTCTCCTGAGTAAAATCAGGTTCCAGCAGCTTGTATCAGCTGAGAATCTGTCCTGTTTCTCCAAAAACAGGCTTCTACTCTCTAAGGTCCCCAGGAAAATGCCTCTAAATAAAAATAAAAATTCCCTCATGGCAGCAGTCCTTGTTACAAGTGTTTTCCCTAAAGCAGTACATGTAATGGGGTAATGAAATGCATGACAACTGGTTCTTTCTGGGGAAGAATATATATGCAAGTGAAAAAACAAACTAACTGCCCCTTTTGTGTAACATTCAGTCAGCAGGGTATTAAGTATTGTAAATAGCTACAATTTGTACTTATTTGCATCTTACCAATTTCTTTAAATGTATTCTTCAATAGCTACTCTTCATTCAAGCCACCATAATTTCCCCTTTATATGGCATCAATGCATCTCCCCAGGCTGAAAAGTCTTTGTAAGACTTTGCATTAGAGAAAGAATTTAACAGTCAGATCTCCCCAGATCTCAAATTAGTCATGCAAAGAAACAATACTTCATGAGTGTCTGGCAGCCCTTAGTGCGACTGCTGACTAAACTGTAAATAGCTTGAGTGGGAAGCTTTCATGAAAAAGCCTGAAAGAAATGGCTTAACCTCAAATATATAACTAATTAGGAGATCCAACAATCATTGCTTACGGAAAAGTCTTTGTTGTTTGGGGCTTTTCAGTACCACTTCAGTTGTGGACTATTAAGAGCACATAAACTATTTGTTCCACAAAAGTGCTGTCAGGCAAAGTTGCAAGTACTTTTTATCCTTCAGCTGGTATACAAACTTTATTTAAAGGTTTCATCTTATCCACCACTAAAAACTGCTCTCAGCTTGGAATGGAAAAAAACTTGAAAATTTGAGTCAGGTTCGCTACCCAGTAAGGCAAGTGAAAGGAATGACTCCTTAGACAGCTGATAAGGCACTTTTTTTTTTACTTTTTTTTTTCTTTTTCTCTTTCTTTTTCTTTTATTTTATTTTGGTTGCCAGGGAACAAAAAATACTTGATATATTTGCATCACAAAAGGAAGCTTGAGATATATTTGATTATATTGTCTAGATATATTTATACATACTTGATGGAGAATGGAGGCAATAACCACTATTTTGGCAACTATTTCTATCACGTATTGCTGAAACTATGTATTTGTTTCATTAAAATGACTGATGCCAAGACAACAAAAAGGGATGAGCAAGTAGCTCATGATTGACTGTCCCAGGGCACCCGGAGCAGCCGTGGAACCTCCAACATTTTAATACTCAAAAAGTAATTTGCCATGTTCCTGAGCATCCTGACCCAGCTAGGAAGTAAGGCATCACCTTCCCACCTATAAGATTGTAGGGTGATTCTTTCCTGGAGCATGCCAGGAGTCCTTGGTACTTTACTAATTTTACAAGAAAAAGCAGGAAAGAAAAATCCAAAGAAAAGACTACAGACACAGTAGAGGAGATTTAAAGACAACTTCCCAAGAAAAGGGAATTAATCTTCAGGTGTTTTGGAAGCACCATGGCAGTCACCAAAGATTCTGTCCTGCGTTTATTTTGTAAATAACCTGTGGTTGTTCCACAAATTACCATCACTTGATTCATCTCTTTTTGTTATCCCTCCCCAAAATCAGAGACTGCAGAATTCAACAGGATTAGTGCTGCTCTGAACAACCTCACAGAGTGTTTTTCCTGATTGTGACCAGAAGCTGGACCTAGAGTAGCACCAACAGTACAATATTTGTAGTTCAAGTGACTTTCAAAAGCATGCCAGCTGCGCTGTATGCCAGCCACTGAGCACAGGACATCACAGCTCCTTCATCCAACAAGTCACTTAGCCTGCAGCTGTAGAGACCAAAAGTTTGAAGCTGCAGCACAAAAAGTAGCTGTGAGGAAAAAAATTTTTTTCTTCCTCTGTTGTGAAATACATTTTGTGGGCTTTAATTTCACACCCAGAATGAGTTTAAAACCACTGAAAGGGGGAGCAGAATCCATGGCCACTATAACAGAGACACTCACTTTCAAGAGAAACTGTTCTTTCTCCTTTTTGATTTGCTGTTCCATTTCCTCATAGAGATGTTGAATTTCTTCATCATAAGCAGCAATTTTCCTAATAAGAGATAAAAATACACTGAGTGGGTCTTTGCAACATTACTTCAAGTCATGGCCCACAATACCAGCTAAGCTCCACATCGCTGCCTTTACACAAGACTCCAAAGAATGTTCTGGTGTCAAGGAAATAGAAATTTTTGTGCAGCAACGCTCACAGATTTTTTTTTTCTCATGGAAGTAAAGCTTCAGTAGCTCAAAAGCTAATATAAAGCTGATGTTTCCATAAAAAGCAGCTGTTCATTATGCAATTTTAATGACTACTAGATCTTGGGTAAAAGGAAGAGAGTTTCCTAATGACAATACCAACATATCAGAACCTAAATTTGACCGTTAAAACTATTTTCATGGCAATTTCCTGTTTTCTATTCCTAGACTGCATTGTTGCCCATTCAAGGGTACTGAATGAGGTACTTCTATCTAAGACACATTAGCTAGAATAGAATTCCTGAAAGACCTTCTTGAAAGCAGCCTTACTGCCTCTCTAACTGCTCTGCTGAAACAAATCTGAAAAGCCCAGACAATATGCTGTGCACAAGTGTATGCAACTGTAGGAAGAAAAAAGAAGAACCTACAAAGTTCACTTTTTTCCAGTGGAATATTGCAATTAAAATATCACTGCAGTTTGATCCATGAAGGATGACATGGAGCAAATGTTTAGCTTGGACAGAAAAAAATTAACAGTTGATAGGGAACAAGATATCTGCTTTGTTCTGCTACTATTCTATTCTATGCTCACTATCTGGACACTGAAAAGCAAAAATATCTTTGTATCAAACTCAGGAGACATCCTAGAATAATTTTTTATAGTGATTATTAGGAACTTTATCTGACAGTACTGTATATTGCCTCATATTCTTCCTGCCATAGCTGTTCCTTGAGCAATCTGCATAATGTATCTGTCACAAATAAAGAACTGAATCTTCAAGGGCATTCACATCAGCAAGACAAGGAACATGCAGCAGAAAAAACCCCAATATTTATTTTGTATCTACTTTTTTTTTTTTTTTTTTACCCAATGTGGCACATATTCTATGTTTTCCCTCATTGAAGGCCTGATTCTCTTCTAATTTAAAACAAAGCCAATTTTAAAGAAAATTCAAAAACTTTACCTAATCTAAGAAGAGTGAGTAAAGCCAGAAACAAGTCTGTCTTTCCCCCTTTCAACAGCAGAACACCTGACACTGCCAGCTTGCTTTTTCAGTCACAGGTAAAAAAAAGTGAGACATTTTCCCAGGATTTACAGAAGCAATACACAACTGTCAAGCTACAAGAATTGGAGGAAAACAATGGCTGTCACTTAAGACTTTCATAACCTCTGACTAGGTGAGAAAACCAGGCCCCAAAAGAGCCTTTGCCACTTAACTGCAACATTTCAAATAGAGTGCCAGACAATCCAGAAGCCCTTTAGTTGCTTTAGTCCCCTTACACTGTAAAAATGTGTCATGTTCTGATCTCAAATCATTTTCTTGAAACTAAGAAAATGCTAATTTCTTAAATTAGCATTCATCAATGGAAGCAAATTACACAAATCCCTAGAGAAATAACAACTACTTAGAAAGGCATGGCAGAGATGCTAGGACCATACACCTACTGTATTCATGCAGTAAAATGTCACTTTGACCAGCACTAGACTGACTACTGAAAAGCCCTGTAACTTTGCAGAGGCAGAACACACTGCACAGCAGTCAGTGTTTCCATGGGAATCATAAAGATTTCCTGAGCTTCTGTATGACAGGGAGAATAACTTTAGTCCTGTGTTTTAGCTTGCTGATTTAGGTATTTTTTTCCCTCTAATGTGTTTGGAAGCAAAGGATATGGCAGCACCATGAAGACTACATCCTGAAAGCACTACTGAGTGTAGGAATCTTTTCAGTTGCTCTGGCACATAAGCACATGCCATTTCTGCAGGCTGAATACCCTGCAAGCATTCCATTCATGGATTCCATTCTTACCTCTGATCAAATTAAACAGAAGGGGAAAATAATACCCCCTCGTAATCAAAAGTCAAACAATTATAAGTAAAATAACTAACAAGCAGAAGAAAAAAAAATTAGCTGGCAAATATTCCCCAGATATATTCAGAAGAAAAAAAACTGAATTGATAAGGATATATCATTTTTATGTGATAAGGATATATCATTTTAATGTGAAAAATACAACATGTTTTTCTATTCCCTTAGATTACCTCTTCAAGCTTTACTTAACACACAGTTTTATAATTTCAGCCATATTTGATAATTTAGTCTCTCCTTTCAGTAACTGTGGAATTAACAGATAGAGATAAAAACAGATGAAATGTAATGTGAGTTCACTAAGTTCAGACAATAGGTTCAGGATCAACACACTTACAAGGGTTTCATTTCTGCCCATACATGTAGCTGCAATGTGAATTGTTTTGATTTCATAACTGCTGTCTGTGCAGTTTATCATAATGGTTCTTTCTCCTTAAAAAATTACAGTGATTTGTGCACAGTGTGAACTAATCTCCTGAGATGTTGATTATCCTCATCTTCCACAAAGATGGATTCTGACACTACCCCATGCTAAGGAGAAGTCAGTTCATCTTTCCCTTCCCCTTTACCCTTTTGTTTATCTTGCCTGTTTAGTACTCTTGTTTGAAACAGAGTCTACTTTTTTATTAGGTTTGTCCTTCAAATGCAAAAGCACAGCACCAGACAGAGCTAATGGCAGTTGAAGATTTTATCTGCTATTAGGAGAAAAAGTTTTCTCATCTCTTTTAGGCTTACTTCCTATCATTCTTATTAAAAGCCCCTTGGTTCTACTGCCAGGGATTTGAAGAATAACAAGGTCTGTCATATTCCACTACAGCCTTTGCCTCCTCATTCAAGAGATACGACCTTTTAAAAATAGCTCTCTCAGAATAGCTGCTCTATTCCTTTAACCACTGAGTTGCCATTCCCTGCACTTTTCCCCATCTCACTACACTCTTCCTGTGTTGCAGAGACGAGAACTTCCCACAGTGTGCTCAGGATATGGGTGCACTAAGAGTCCATGCAGCGGCAAAAACATGCTTTGCCACATGCCCAGTACCCTCCCTGCTAGTGCCAAGCAGTTTACTGGGCTCTTTTGGCTGATTTTGGGAAGCTCTCTGCAATGCCCCCATGGGCTTTCTCTGGAATTGTAATTGCCCATCACATAAGCATTATTTTATTTTCTCTTCCTAATGTTCATCTCTGCTTTTTTGGGGTGCTCAACACATCACCCTATGACTTTAAAAACCATTATGACTATATTTAAGAAGCCATCTAATTTCAAACAAATTTCAAAGCCCTTAAAATGAAACACAAATACCGAAAATCAAGGAGAACAAACCCTGCTAAATGAATATTGTACCCACAAAATCACATCTGGTTTAGATTTAAAACCCATTTGATTTTGGGTTTTTTTTCCTCTCTCTCTCTAGTTACATCAATATTAACCTGCACAGTCCCCCAGGTGTGCTGTATTTGCATGTTTGTTTATTGAGAATATATGCTCATCCTCACTGCTGCCTGGACCTACAAACAGGAATAGCAGCAACCTATTGGATCTATTGAACCAGAACAGGATGAAACTCCTGGATGTCTCAAACCATGGGACTGAGGTTCAAGAATGAAAATATGTACATGTGAAAGGTCCAGAAAAAAAGGCAAAAAAAATGTAGAGAAGAACATCACAGGTGAAGAGCATAGATTTTTATGGCATAAAGATCCCAGCACACGCACATGAAACTTCTGAGGGCATCCAGGATAGAAGAAAAAGGAACAATTGAAGACAAAAGCACAGCCTACACCCAGGAAATGAGACAAAAGGCAGAGAGTAGACTGCCTTATTGCCTAATGACTCACAGAGGTGAGTCAGGAAGGAAAGACTCAGGAAGAAAAGACAAAAGATCAAATTCATATTCAATTTCTAAAGAATATTATGGTCACCAATCAAGAAAAGCCCAGTAGACATTATAGGTCCTCAAAACCCAGCATCCCTTCTCTTCTGTGACCTCACAGTAAATCCTGGCCAGTCTCTCAGATACATGCATCTTAGTCCTAGTAAGTATGTGGGTATTAAAAAAATTAATCTTCTCCCCTCTATGGTGCTGTCTTGAGCTTTGTTGTGATTCATACATAGTTTAAAAGAAACAGGTTATTTATCCCCACTGTTACATTACTACTCTGATTCCTTCCAGCAGTCGACTACAAACAAAACAACAATCAGCATGCTGAAATCAGCGGTGTTATCAGGAGCAACAAAAAGAAGAAATTAGCTAAAACGTGTCTACTACAAAGGCATGAAAATCCAACGCACTTTCAAGGTAGACATTTCACATCAGCCAGAACAGATAATGCTAATGTACTCTCTGTACACCTCTGCACTGATCAGAGCTATTAAAGAGACACATTTTTTCATTCAGCTCCCAAAAAAACATTCACCAAAAAACCCAGAAAACCCTCACAGCACAAACCTCTCACCACACATGGTAGTTAACAAGCTCTAGTCTAAAATCAACAGCAAAACTCTCTGTATGCTGTTTCCAGCTGCCTGAAGGCTAAAACCACATACAGAGAATTAGCTGAAAATGCTACTACCAATATAAACCAATTGTCTTTAATGATCATACATTTTTAGGTCTTTTCCTTCTTCATAGGCCTTGTCACATTCTCAGAATAGTCAGGAGAGTGCTGAACAAATGAAGTAAAATTTCATCAATATATTTGCCTTTATTGCTCAGTCTGTAAGAACCTGAAATTCAGAAGTAACACTTTAAAATAAAAATACAGTGGAACTTCACCTACATCCACAGTTTTGCATTTTGTTACGATTTAGCATCATAACTTTTCTCCCTCTAGATAACTACATACAAAAAATGATCTGTTAATTTTTACTTCTTATACATATTTTTGTATGTGTATTTTATGTATTTGTTTATATTTATATTTTATACGCTTTACATATAAAACATACATATGTTATTTACCATATTTCATAGCTTTGCTTTATATATATTTGTTAGCTTACATTTTCACTAGTATCAGTGCTTTGTGCTGCTCTAACATCTTAAACCTCTTATGTCTCTGGCCAGTTAATCCAGGTTTATAGCTTTTCTGCACGCAATGCTTGCAAAGCACACAGACAATTTGCCAGATTTACTGTTAAATACGACTTTCCTCTGGAATCAAACTGATTAACTAGATTGGAATCACTCCATATTGTCTTAAAACCTCAATGCAATAACAGATATCTGCAAAAGAATTTCAGTCAATAAAATCTTAACCAGAAATGAAAAGCTAATTTGATTCAGTTCTGCCATATGAATGGTTCTACCCATAGTCTTAACGCTTGATAAAATTTCACATTATAGGAAATTTTACATTATGTGAAGTCTTGTCCTTCGGTCTCCGCTGAAATACCTTGTTTATTTCAGAAGTTCAAATAGCAGGTGAAATATCTCAAACTACACAAGCAGTCTAACAAAGAGAAGTACTAACTTTTTTAGAGCACATTCCAATTCATTCTTCTCATTATCTGCTTCTTGGAGCTGGGAAAAAATTCTGACCAAGAACTCTTCAAAATTGGAAAGTAAATGAGGTTCTTCTTTTTTTAGCTGCAACCAAAGTTGCTTCACATCAGTCTCACTGAAAGAAAACATCATAAAGGATTCATTAAGAGAGAACATTTCCCAGGCTGCAGTAAATGTCCTTAGCACCCTTAGTAGATGGAGGCTTCAGGGCAACACTAGTCAGAACACAAAACTTATTAAAAACAACCTAAACTGTGCCAGATTTGAGAAGGATGAGGGGGTGGAAAATTATGGAGATCGAATTTATTTTAAAAAATACATTGAAACATCTGGCCATTCCTGACTGCAGAACAGCACAGGAACTGCTTGTTTAGTGGGTGCCTTGCCAGACACTCCACCTAAACAGGAATGGGTAAGAAAGGAGACAAGACGAGATACAGTATGCCCTGCCATCACTTCTATTAGAATTAAAGAAGCTTCCACATATCTAGAGGGGAGAGGGCAGTGGAAAAGCTAACAAAATCCCTCCCTCATAAAAAATGAATGAGATTCAGACTCCTAAGTAACATAGATATGTTAACAAATTGCATTTCTACCGCATTCTTTCATTTTCAATACATTTTTCTTCCATGGTGATTCTGCTACAAAAAGCAGAACAAAACATCTTGAAATTTTGATTTAAAGATTTACCAAGATAATGTTGTGTTTCCAAATCTGTTCAGCAGACACTGACAGCTCTATTGTGAATTATAATGGGTTTCTAATACTTTGCCAATATTCTCCTGAACCACTTTGTATCTTCCTGACTCACTTTGTTTCATGAGCATTGCAATCCTGAACCTAGCCAGCAAAAGGGCTGTATTTAAAGGACAAAATAAGAGTAAGGATAGAAAAAATGGGTGATAAATATCTCTTCATAATGAAAGGCTTTCAGGATGGCTGACAATGAACTGTTTCCTGGAACAGGCAGTCAAGGGAAGACAAGGACAGATGAGTGCTTTTGTTCCATAGTAAGAATCACGGATGTATTTCTTAAATATTTGTACCACTTGTCCAGATGCTCTCCCATTTTTGCCCAAGGTTTTGTTTGGTTTTTTTTTGCTCTACGGTATTCATTGTGATTGACCAACGAATGTGAGGCCGTCACATACAAAGCTCTTTGAGCAGGTTCTATGTTCCATTTTTCAGAGGGATCTATCCTAGCCTTGGAAGAAGTAGCACTACCAGAGCAATCACAATATGCAATTAGGCAGGAAGAGGAGAAAAAGCAGAAAAAAATGGAGAAAAATTCCCTACTTATGGCGCACTTCAAATGCAGCCCTTGCCAAAAATAGCAGTCAACACGCATTGATTGAAAATCAGTGACATCTGTGGATTACATGCTTGTAATTATCTATGTTCAGATCACATGGCAGAAAAACACGTTTCATGTGCCTGGAGTACAACAGTTTTGCTTTTAGAAATTTGGTCAAACAGCATTTTATCATGACAGTAAGAAAATTAGTTTTTTAAAGAAACTCTGTGGTTTTTAGCAGCTTTTGTTCTTGCCATTCATCTTGGATTCCATTTAAATCAAACCCAGAGGTGAATCATAAAGGGTCATACAACTGATGATTGCTGTGAGAACTCACTCATCCAAAACCTTTGCAGCTCCAAGCCGATCCATGAGATTTGAGAACTGGAATTCTTCATCCTCATCACCAGTCGTGGTCTCTTCGTATCTACCTGGGCAGGCTGTTTCTCCTTCTGATGGTTGCACCATGTCATTTTTCAAAGCAATCTGCTCCAAAAGAAATTGGCCTAAGAATTAGAAATTACACACATTAGCATTTTCAGAAATTACTATAAGAAGCAATGTCATACTAAAACTCAAATTTTATGGTAAATAAACAAAAGTCTGGGGCATCCCAAGAGGATCCCTGAGTTCTATGGCTGGCTTTGTGCCCCATTTAATGTCTAACCTTCAGTAAATCATCCACCTCAAAATTCACAAACAATAAAAAAATTTGTATCTCTATGCAAAACATAAAAGGACATAAATTGCAGTAACAACTCTTCATAAATGTTGTGGGTTTGTTTCTTGATAGGTTCAAATAGATTAGGGATCTAAAATATCAGTACTGATAAAATGTATATTAAATAAAATTTAACATTCTTTTTAGCACATGACCAAAGACACATTCAATTCCTATATAAATTGTATACAGAAAGCTACATTTTATTAACAGTAGCTGTATGGTGAGGAAATCATCACATGAATAGTCAACTTTTTGGGGGGTTGGGGGAGGGGGAATATTGTGATTTTATGCTAAGGATTTTTTTGTTATATTCTAAGTTCCAGTACAGAAATTTCTATAGATCCAAGGAAACAGAAACACTGGTGTGGTTTAGTTTTTATTAACTCCATCTTGCATTTTTTCTCATAGCACCCAACAGAGCATGTTGGCAACAGAATGGAGTATGTTGCAAAGAGGGGTTACAGTAAATTTCAGATTTGCCACCATTGGAGAAATAGAAACAGGACCCTCCCAGGTGAGAGAGTAATTGGTGCAGCATGAGCTTTATCCAGACACTACTCTGGCTGCTCAAGCAGCTTTTATCTACTACAGCTTCTGCTTCCAGGAATGCCAACATCATCACCTAGCCAAATGTAGGACTAGCTGGCCTGGAAAATACCTGTCAGTGCTGTGTGGCAGGTTAAGATGTACCATGCCTCAAACTGTCTATCCCTATCCTTTACGTGGTGTGGTCCATGTCCTGCGTGTGCTGTGTGGGTGTCTTTGGGGTACGTGTTTAAAACAGGAAAGCAGTGGCCACATCCACCTGGGCCTCTGGACTGGGCTCCAGCACCTGAGCAGGAAGAATCCCCAGGATCTGGAGCTGCTTGAGATGGCAGCCACTTACAATCTCCCTTAGTAAAGAGTTTTGGTTATGCAGGGACTGCTTATGGAAGTAATCTTAATTTAACTCATGAAAAACAAAGCATATATTATTTCATTTTTTAATAATGTCAATTTTCAGATTAGAGCATACCCTATGAAGATACTTGATCTACCTCTACAATGGGAGGGGTGGGACATGAGAGAATTAGGGTTTCAAAGCACTGATGAAACCAAAAACATAAATCCTGTTTGTTGGACCTGTAGATATTAACTAAATTAAGATTTGCTGTTACAATTCACACCTAGATGAGATTCGGTGTTCTAGAGAAAATGCTTAAGCTTAGCCAGCAGAGCTGGTAAGCTCTAAAATTAGGTACAAAATTGATTCTGCATAAACAACCAAGCACTGTTTAACTAACAATGTCATCTTATCTGGAACGTCACATCTGGGGAGAAAACCACCCTGTGACAAACACAGAGAATATGACAATAAGGGTGCTGTTGAAAAACAAGCACTTACAAAGACTTATCAGATCACATCTTACAGAAGTAATAAGTGCCTCATCCTGTTTTGTTTTGAAATAAATTAACATCACTTGAAGAATTAATTCATTGTAGAAAGCATTCCCATAGCTCTAAGGACAATGGTGCTAACAAACTCCTAGCATTGTCTTACATTAAGATTAGAGATAACTTTAATTATCTTTCTTGTCCTATTAGCTGATATGAAATAACACACAAGACTCCCCATCCCCCCTGCCCAAATGAAACCTTCAATAAATTGTACATAGATTTACTCAACAGCTTAAAACAGGTGTGATTCAGGTGATTTCATCACTTTTTCATACTGTGTCATGGCTTGTCATTTTACACAGGAGAGAAAGACCCAGAAGCCCTTTGTCTACTTATTCATATAATTTGATCACTTCTTCCTCTGCTATATATATCTGCTACATTTAGGGAACAGTCTGGCACCCTTAAGTATTAAGTGTCCTGTTAAGACAAAGTTCCTCTTGATTCATGGGGAGAGTACAGAACATGAATAAAGCTCAAAAGAAGAGACATGTTTCCAAAACTCACTGAATCCTGTGATGAACTCCTTTGGGGTAAGTGAGCCATTGCCATCAGCATCCAATGTAACAAAAACTTTTTCAAGTTCTTCCAGGCTAAGAGGTAACTCAGGATGCAGTCTCTGTAATGAAAAAACATGCAGCAACTTTATCCATTACTACAGGATAAGAGGAAGACTGGGTTCTACAAAACATCCATAGCACAGCAGGACAGGTCCTTTGCTTCCCTGAGTGAAAATTAATTACAGAGCAAAACCGGATCAAGTGAGGGACACGTGCTTTAATGACTTATTTGTCTTTATGAACCCACTATGATGACACAGGGAGAACAACTGTCTGGTGCCACAAATTCCAAACATATGGAGAAGAGGAAGAACCTGAGGTGGAGTCTCAGCCTCCTGGTGAAATGGCTTGATTATCTTGGTGAAATGCCTTGGTTATCAGGCTACTGGGCAAACTTGGCAGCAGAACTGTACAACTAGTTCCTTCCACGTCATAAAGTCAAGCAAGAGACTCTCTAGATGACTACATTATAGAGAATATACTGTCCTAATTCAAGCTGATTCAAAAAGTGTACATAAATAAATAAGCAAATAAAACAAAGCTAAGACAGCTGCACAGTCTAAGGACAAAACCTGTAGTTCCCACAATGAGTTAAATGGAGTTCATGACTGTCTACTTCTGTAATTAAGCATGCTCACACCAAAAAAGACATAGCTTCATAAAATCAGCTCCACAAGTATCACATACTTTTTCCTGATAATCTAAAGACATAAAAGAAAAGACTTCTATAAAACTGATACTAATGGTTTTACTCTAATTCTTTTAACAGTGTAGACAGATTCCCAGAAACAGGAGGAAACTGGAGTGGCAAACAACACCAATAACCAGTATTTCCACTGGGAGACAGCACTAGGAAAATTAAAACCTTTCCTCAGCTTGAGAAGCAATATAAATAAACACTGGTTCACTCCTCTGCTTTATTAATTAACATTTTAATCCCCCAAAACTCCTGTTTTATATACAACATATTAAAACTGCAAGCTAGTAGGTTGATAAAGTTCATTAGATTAAAAGTGCTGATCTGTTCCACTGTTGGGGAGGTATTTGGGACCAAAAAAACATTTCTCCTGCAATCCAAAACAGCAGAAATCACTATTCAGTATTCTAAACCATATAGGCAAGGAAAGAATTGGCTGAAACGCATTAACCAGGAGTTCCCTGGTTTCCACAAAGAGTTTAGGGTATGCTTTATGAACTGTTTGGATAGGAGTGTTAAAAGGAATTCCAAGGTGGTCCTGAGAAGTAAAAGCAACAGCGCTACTAAAGCACAGAACTACCTGGAATAGTTACAAAAGGATTTCTGATAAGGATTAGTTGTGTATTGCTGCCTGCTTCCAGAAGCAAAACCTAGGAAAACTTGATAAAAACTCAGTTTAAATGACTTATTTCATCAGTGTCTTCAGTTTCTTATTTAAACACACCCATCTTCCCAAAGTTTGGATTTCAAACTCTACGATCTAAAGGGAAACCTTTTATAATCAGTTTCTCCTGTAAAATTCTTACAGCCAACACCACACTGATGAGGGAGAAGGTGCTTCAAACAAATTACTCTTTTTACATTCAGAAAAACAGACACTGTACTCTTACCACCAGATCTTTGGAACCTGCTGAAGGAGCACCCAATCTGACCATGCCAAAAATACAGACCCAGCTGCTATGCCAGCGCAATGATCTGGGGGTCCTGCTGCAAACCTGACTGACAAATATGGGCTTCTCCAACCTCAGCTGCAGTGCCCTAATGCAGCATCCAAATTCTGCTGAGAACTACACTAAATTTACAGTAGAAAACACCATTATTACTTGTATTTTCTTGGGGGGAAGGGAAAAAAAAAGGTGTGAAAATAGGAGATTCTAAGGAATGTACCAACATTTTGCTTCATTAAATTCCCTCCAGATCATTTGCAGACTTTTATGAGCTGGGACACTTACTAAGATTAAATCAATGTTTTCCCAACCTCTTGGGTTTTTTCTTAATAAAAAAATTAAAGTGGTTTGTGGCTAGGAAAGCAAAATGTTATTGGTCTCACTGTTGTGTTTTTGTTTATTTGCTCATTTTAAGCTTACTGTAAAATTACATAGGCCCTTTCAATATGAGGCTCCTAAAATTTTAAAAAGAAAAGAAAAGAAAACAAAACATATTCAGAGATACCACTGGAGCTTCAAAAGAAGCTATCTGCACTGCCACCAAATGTGCTCTGTGGCTTCATGATATCTGCGCTTAATTCTCCTAAAATACCAAGCTTTTACTCAGCTAAGTACAAGGACAGAGGTCAAACAGCTAAGAGCAACATCTGAACCCAATCCTCCCATGTACTTTAGAAAAAAACATTTTACAGCACTAACCCTCATTATTCATTATAACCTCAAGGACCAATAGATGAAACTGTGGTTTCAAGTCTAAGGTAGAATTTTCTTTCTTGCCATTTCAGAAAACCTCTTGATGGTTTGAAAGTTGAGTACATTTGATATTTGGAAATGGAATAATTTTTTTTTTTTAAATCCAGCTATTAACATCCTCTCACAATAAACAACATCATATAATCAAGGAGGAGTAAATCTTTCATGTAGTAACTGTTACAGACACAAGAGAAAAAACTCTGCAAGATTTGTTCCATCAAGATTAATTAAATTTCAGATACTTTGCACTCTGTTGAAATCATGCCTTGTATCCCAAGCCTAAAGATTAAAAGGATTAGCATTAGCATCCTATATCTGAAGCAAAGCTTCAGGAATGATAAGCAGTACAGACCTACCAAATACAGCACAATACAGAAGTGATCAACACTTAGTACCTTTTAAGGAAAAAACTGATTTATTTCATTAAATTTTGTTTTTCTTATAGTGAGTAAACATAATGAAAAATGCAGGAAACAAAATCAAGTATAAAGAAACACCATCTCAAATGTCCTGAGCACCTTTATTTCTATATTAAAGAGCTTACATACCCTTACATACATAGAGAGAGTTTTCAGTTACAGTAAACAAACATGATGAAATAGAGGAATGAAATAGAACTTTATTTGTTCTTTGCAACACTATTTCTACTGCATTTTTGCAGCATCTGTTTTAGAACCTGAAGTATAAATTTAGCAGCACTCTAAGCATAAACCTAGAATCAAACAGAATCAAATAATTTTACATTCCTTGCAAAAACAGGTATTAAAACTTTTTATATACGTATACATACACATACATATTGCGGTTTTCCATTAGGTAAAAATCTATGCCTTTCAGTTTTTAGAAAGAGGGTAAAATTGTAATCCATTAAACTCTGTGGCTTTGGATTTACCAAACACTACCACTGGCAATATGTTTGGCTTTTTGAATTCAGTTACTTCAGTGAGATAATGCAGATTGGCAAAGCCTACAGCAGAGCCAACATCTGCATTCCTCTCTTTTTTTAACTTTGCATAATTAACAGAGGTCATCAGAAAACTCAGCAACACACAACTGCCAAGAAAGCTCTTGAGAGCTAGCAAACTGAGCAGTTTATTTAGGAGGGTTTTGCTTTTCCAAAATAGGTAAAGTTGTTTCAACTGTGTTTTCATACATACAGACAACTTTTGTCTCTCAGGACAGAGAAAGTTTCTAAATTTTCTATTAGATGCTTTCTTTAGTCGTAGATCATGATGAATTTGTTTTGCTCCTGCTCCCTAATTCTGTTTCATCTGTAAGTACTGAAGTAGAAATGGATTAACACAAGTTATGCTTTGCATGTCAAGCATGAGTACATTTCTGTTCTCTACCACATACTGGCTCAAATCATCTTATCACTTCTGCAATGTGCCACAATCACATTTTCAAAAGCTTTTGTTATATATAGTTGCTTTTTCTCGTCAGCATATTCAGCAAATCTGATTTTGGGCCCTCAAACAAATTAAGCACAATTTCCTAAGACTGCTGCCAACACTGAATAATGCTAAAAATACTGTTCCTCTGTACTTTCTACATATATATGTGATCCAGCTGAGAGTTCACCATTGCCTGACAGTGAAGCCACAGTGAAAGACTTTATTTACACAATTTTGCTGAAAAAAGGATAGAATTGGCAGACTAAATACACCCCTGACACTGTGGCAAATCACAAAGCAATGAATTTAATGGTGTTTCGACGTTTTCAACAAGAATAGAATTGAAGTCCTGGGGCTTTTTTTTAAACCTAATTTACTTTGATTTTCCACTTTTTTGTTGCTTTGTCTGTGAGGAAAAATGCAAGCATTATGTAAGACTTCAAAGATATTATTTTAAATCTCACGTATCTCTTTAAAGTTATGAGGAGGGTGTTAACATTTTTAACTCTAAATTAATCAGTCTCAACTCATTAAGGGCTTTAGGAGCTTCTCTCGCCGCGCATTTCACATAACCAATTGTGTTTTACCTGCATGTCTTGACGAGTGACGAAGCCTTTGCCTTCCAGATCACAAATCTGAAAGAACTCTTGTGCTTTTCCCAGCACAGTTAGTTCTGGGTCTTGTTCTCCAGTCCTGCTCCTCTCTGCATCTCCTGGTTGCACGGGACTGGTGTAGTCTCCTCTTATTCTGTCCATGGTTACAGTCTCAGCTCAGGAATATCCTGGGATGCGGCTATCCCATTTACCCATAAATTCTGATCTGAAACCTGTGCATGGGAAAAAGAAAGGAAAAAATCAAATCAGACCCTCTTAATGATGCTTTCAATACAATCTCTTAGCAACCATTTCTTTAATTAGCCACCAAAGCTTAGAAGAGGAAAAAGCTTTTTGAAGACACTTACCCTTGATGGGCTTCACTAAAGACATTGCAAATGGGATGATGAACAAGGAAGGGGGAGTCTGAGGGAAGGAGAGGACAAAACTAGCTCTGAAATGGAGTCTCAAAGCAAAATCAGCCAGCTTGACAAGAAACACAGACAATCGATGAACATGAACAAGAAAACACAAGAAATACAGATAAAGGCAAGAGTAAAGTCACTACAACTTGACTTCACATATTTGTCTTGAATTTGTAGTTCTTATCTAAGTAGGTCTGCCTAAAGTAGATAGATTTGAGACACAGTAGTAGATAAATTTGAGACACAAATTTATCTCAAAATTTTTAACAGAACAAAGAATTTTTTAAGGCATTTGACTATAATATGAGAATATAGCCTGATTGTGATCCAGTATGACTGGCACAATCTGGAACAACAGAAAGGCCAGTGAAAATTGTTTAAAAATGGAACTTATGTTGACTTCAGAGCAAAGACCTCAGTACTGCATGGATATGAAGATAGAATATGAGGAAACAAGACCTTAGGCTTGTCTACGCAGCTTCTTAAAGTGAAAAGGCTCTGATCACATAGAGCAACTCAGCCTGTTTTACTCCAGGCTCAAGTTCAAACCTGACACTCTTGGAACACAGCATCTTCTAAGATGTGTTCATCTTAGAGAACGCACACAGCTTCCCGTGACAAAGATTTCTCTGATACCCATGGGCCAGGCAGCTGGACTTCCCACATTGCATGTAAGTGTAAATTTACTGCAAATAGGCCATTGACATCAAACCAAACTAAGATTTTGGTGAGCAAATCACTCAGCCCCTCTGAAACCATGTGAAAAAATTTGCAAACACAGGTAATTTTCCTTTCCCTCTCTCCTCTCTTTTATCACTCCAATCATCCCAAGACTCTTGTTCAAATACTTTCCAGAACTGGAATAACTTTGGCTATATGGCCAAAGAACCTGTCAGAATCTTCCTAGTGCAGTGTTACAAGAAGGACAAGGAAAAACACTCAGAGGGGAGCCAAGAGATGTCTAAACCACCCAGTATCACGCCACCTTAGGAAACTCCTCCCTCAGAATGGATCTTCCTTGAATTTTAATGTACAGCTGTCAGTGGTGCCTTATAAACCCCAAGACCTCTCTGCTGGGACAAGCCAAGAGGCAGCAAAGTCTGCCAGAGCATCCATGCCAGAGCATCCATAATTAACAAGGCTAGAAAAGGCTGTCATGGGGAATTCTGGTCACACATACAAGGGGATTTTGCCTATTAGAGCTGCCTGAACAGCTGTAATCTCTTTCTCTTGTGAGGAAAATTTCTACCTCAGAAAGTCTGACCAACATTCAGTAGCTGGGAAGACACACAAAGGAAAAGACTGCTCTATAATTGCCCTGTTTCTTAAATCCTTCCATGACGTTTCCAACAGTCTTAAAAACAGTATTTGAGCCAGATGAATCTTTGCTCTCACTGTATATAGCCACCCACAAGTGGACCAGATGGAAAGGCACAATCAAACTACACTGGTGTAATAGTCCAGATAAAATTCTCCCTTCATACTGCTTTTACACACCTGAACCTCCATTACTTCAATACAGCTCACTTCTGGCTGACACCAGTGTATGAGGTAACAAACCAGACCATCAGCTTCAGCTTAGCAATGATACTAACTTAAAAACACGTGTAAAAACACCGAAAATCAATGGGACAAGTACAGCTTGCAGACAGTCTTGACAAGATCAAAATTGACCCAGACTCAAAATGCTTTTGGGATTTTTTAAAGATTTTTTATTTCAACAATTTCCAGAAGGCCACAACTTCAGGAACAGGCTGAACTAATCAAGAGAGTAAGTGCTGCTAGTGTCTGCCTCTGCACAGTCCATCAGACTTCCTTAGGAAAAAAGAAAAACTATGCAAGGAATAAATAGCCTATTGTAAGTGAAAGAACAGAAATACAAAACCAGATCAAAAATGGTGGAACAAAAGGCACTATATACACTTTGAGGAAGTTGTTTGCAGTTAGCAAACAGTACAATTCAGCAAACATCACCATGCTTTCTAAATACTTCCATACACAAAATGAAATTACATGCATCATGAGAGCCGCACCTTCTTATAAGTTGCCCCACCTTTTATACACCTCAGAAAAACTTGCTACACAGCAAGTGTCTTCAATACAGCAGAAAATTAAATTAGAGCATCTGCAAAAATTCTTAATCCTTATGGCATCTTCTAAAGCTGATAGAGTTCATCATAATTCCTACAGTGTCCTGATACTTTGCAAATGCTGGTAATAACATGAAAGATTAAAACTGCAATTTGTCCCACATTACTGAATCAGCACTCAGTAATTACCTCAAAGCCAGTATCAAATAACATAGGTAGTCCCATTCACTCATGCATCTCCTTTAGAGAATGAATGGCTTACAAAATCAATTCCATTAAGACCTTTGATTTCCATTCTTTTAGCTACAAACACACTTCACTATGCAAAATAGGTGATATCATGACCTGATGCAAACAAGCATAGCTCCAAATACTAAAGAAGGATGTGTGATTCACGAGGTTTCTGTCCATTAATCATGAGGGAAATTTTGGACCGATCTGCAAAAGGGAAGTCACTGTTAATATTCCAAAAGGCATTTCCATCATTTCCAGTCAGGTCTACTGCAAATCACCAAACTCTAGAGGTGCAGAACAACGTTGAGCCACAGATTTCACAAGTCATGATGTGTGACAACCCCATTCTCCCTAACTGTGATAGTTAAAAACATAGAGAGCTGTTTTGCCTCATATCTCTCCTGGTTTCAGGTTTCAGTGAAATATTTTTCTTAGCATGTGTCTACAGGTACAAATTTTCTGCAGCACACTTCAAAATACCATCAGCTGAAAAATACCGTAAGCTTATTTAATACCAAGGTCACCTTGGATTTATCCAAAACACTGTTATGAGAGAGAACACACGTCTTGCAAACACTACAAAATAAAAAATAGATTGCATACTTTTTCTACAAGAAATATTTATTTCCTACAATCAAATGTTAAAATAACCCCCAGCTGCAGTGTAGCATGCCTGACACATGAACAGGGACCTCTTCAGAAATAACTTAGTGTCAGAGTTAGTTATCAGAGTTAGTTATCCAGCACCGTGCTAAAAAGCTCCTAAAGCTAAAATGCATCACCACAAGAAGTCATTCTGTTCCCAACTGCTCTGCCCTGCTTTTAAGCAAGTATTCATCCAGTCAAACAGTGAAATCTGTTGTAGAATCCTTTCAATTCCAACTGGAAAGTTACAGTTTATTTAACTTGATTAAGCCCAAGTGGCCCATCTAGGAAGAATCAAAAAAAGCAGGACCTACAGAGAATGACAGAGGAATGGGATTGCTAAGACCAAAGAGAGCACAATAACCAAGCTCAAGTACATAGAAGTCTCCTAGGTAAAGGATTGAAGAAAAATGCTCCCTATGCACATAATACAAATCCACAAGAAGCAAACACGTCAGACAAGTCAGACATGAAAACCCACCCAAGCATAAAGAAGGTGGAGCACTGAACCCCTGACTGCAAAGGCAGTGCAGTTCTGCCATCATGGAAGAGCAGACCAAACACAAATCTGCAAACAATGGCAGAGGAGAGCATTCCTGAGAAAGATGACTAGATCAGTGGACTTCAGTGTTACCTCTAGCCATTAAAAAAAAGATTTTATGACCATCCAACATAAAAATTTAGGTCCCACACTTAAATAGCAGAGATAAAAAGTTGTGTGCTCAAGAAAATACCTGGTTTTTCTCAATTATGACTGTGACAATTAACCTTTAAGCTCTCATGAAAGTATCATAAAGCTTGGCCTAAGCATTTGGACACCTAGAAAAAACTGGATGAAAAAAAAGGGGACATTGATTCTTCCAGTTTTGGCTTTTCAGGTAAAAACATGCAAGTCAGAAAATCTTGTAATGAAATGTATCATCAAGGCTCTTCCACACAGCCTGAATTCACTTCTCTCATGATGTACATGATCTGTCATGACTCCTCATCTCAGGACATTTTACACCATGGAGTGGGTGTGAGGAGTTCAACTGGAGGAAAGGATCTGGGGCAGGCTGGAGTTCCTGTGAGGGACCACAGGAAGACAGTCTGAAAGGAACGGGTCATGAAAATAATTTCAGGGAAGTAGCGAAGGCAGAGACAAAAGAAGAATCCTACATCCACTGGCCTGTAAAAGGAAAAACTAAGTTATGTAGAAATTCCTTTAGTGTAAGTAGATTTGTGTGGGAGAACCAAATTCTGTTTAGAATCAGTCTTGACAGACTGTTTACATTCAGTATTAACAGAAACTCTCCAGCCAGACCTGATTAGCTTTTAAAGATTAAAGGAACCATTAGGATCACCTGCTTTGCTATCTGCAAGCTTAAAGCTTCACTTATACTATAACAAGGCTTTAAAACTTACTTACAATTTATTTCAAGGTAAGGGAGCTCAGCAGAAGTCAATGAGGAAAAAGACCTGGGAGAAGACATTGTGTGTTGTACATACACCAAAGTCATATAAATGGAATTTCTCCTTTTCAGAAGATTACTGGTTAAGAAAAACTAACGAAACAAACAAACAAAACCCCACCTTAAATCTAAAGAAGAAGGATAAAAATCCAGATTAAATATCTGAAGCAGTGTCTCAACAATATTAACTGTGAAACAGGAGAAAATATGCTTGAGGTGATTAAGCATTAAGGATTCCAAAACAGACAGCCAAAGACTTTGGACAGAGACAAATTACTCCCCGCTTGGCATTTGTCCCTAGATGAATCCACAAATAC